GTTTTATAAGCTCATGTTCCAAAGCTTATTACTTTAATGGCATGAAAACTTAATTAGTGTCGACCATAAATTTTCCATTATAATAAAATCTATCAATTTATAAAAGTGTAGTTTTAATTTACCAATTAACATTTCCTAATATAATTAATGATTTTTTATCCAGGGTTTCCAGTAATACAAACCAATAGTTCTAAAATGTCCTAAAATAGATTTACAATTTGGTATATTTGTATCACATAATTTTAAATTGCAGGATCCGCATGATATAATTCAGTTCAAGATTATGTTTTTTCATAAAATTATACATCATGTAAAGAAAATTAACACCTAACTACTATGCGTAAAATGTATCTCTTTTGTGTTTACGATTTTAACCCATAAAATCTTTATAAAAACTGCACCTTGACCTAATATAAACCTATAAAATTAGTTAAAGAAAATATTTTAACAAAACACTCCAAAATATAGAGATATAAAATAGTTTAAGTCTCATTCAGCAATCGCAACTTTGTTAGTTTTCAATTTAACTAATTTGTTTCGATTTCAAGCAGAAGAATTTAAAAAAACTATTATTTCATTATTTTTGATAGGATAGGTCCAGAACAAGACTGAAAATGTTACATTAGATACATCCTTTGGATGTTAAGATATGTGTTAACAACTAAGAATAATTGAGCATACATCGAAAAACTTTGTAAAAATATACATTTAAAATTAACAAACTTTCCCTCTGGTCCAAAAGGTTTATACTAACTTTTCGATTTTAAACTAATCCATACAGTTTGTAGTTCTAAATATTTAGTAATCTTTTAACCCATTATACAAGCTGCACTGTGCATTACTTTTACTTTCCTGTTACATTGTAAATCCAATAATTTTCCCTTATGACTTTAGTACTTCCACTCAGTGAAACAACGTTCAGACATCAAGAGATCGCGAGCACAAAGGAATGTGTCAGAGTAAAAGATTGAATCATAAGATACAAAGAGTGCTTTGACTTGGCTGACGTTCACTACGACGGATTGTGTTTACATCACACATTTTCTCACGGGGTTTGTTTCTTTTGGAAATTTTTAGTTATGAATTTTAGATAAAAAAAAAAACAGTAAACGTAATGTTTTTGATTCTGAAAAAAAAGCATTATCGATTTATTAGTAGAGAAAGATCTCTAAGTCCCCCTTAACGGATCCACTTAACTAAGAGACTTAAATGTTATAATTCAATAACTAAAATATGAAACCAAAACTTAAGGTCCTAATGAGTGCCGAACTATAAACTTGTTTAGGTAAATTGTCATGGGTGACAGGAACGCAGCTATTATACCAGCCAAAGGAGTTTCTGTACTAATGGGGTCGGTTCAGACCCCATCATCGGGAATGTATTTTGCTATGAGAAACCCAGTCATAGACTACACACAAGCTTTAGATTCACTCATCAACGAAAAAAGGATATTAGTTTCCTTAGGTGAGTAGAATTTTCTCTGTATTTCATATTTGAAAACAATAACGTTATTTCATAATACGTTGTAGTGGTGATATTATTGTTGAGCTATGGACCTTATTCTTCAAAATTGAAGTCTTATACACTCGTTATGACAATTGAAAAGGTTAAACAATAATAGAGGAAGATTTCACTTGAAATTAATGTTAGACTAGTTTAGTTGATTAATTACCGCATCAACACACTCTGATTATTCTATGCTATATTGTTGTATGTCAGAAATGTTGACATGCAATTAAGCGGTGTTTTGGAGGCAATATGTGGTGCGTTTGCTTTGACAATGCTTCTCCAAGCTGCACGGACCTCAGGCAAACACCATTGTAACATTTATCACCCTAAGCAGTGTATAAAGCAAGTCATCTTCAGGAGAGTAGTATTTGGGGATTTTAAAATGTTTATGTTGACAATGGTAAAATAAGACTTGGTTCTAATACCGAACAAACAATGTTTGTAGCTCGGACTAAGTTATGTGACATTCCAGATTCAGATTACATTGCGGGGTATCTACTTCCTCTGGTGTAGTTTACCGAAATGTATTATGTTTATGGTCTATGGTCAAAATAGTGCTGCTAATATTGTGGGAAAAGTAATTATCATTGACCATATTGATATAACAATTATTTGTTATAATAACTTCCAAATATATGTGTAGAAGTCGAATTATAAACTTTCAGAAGGCTTAAGTGGCATCTTTGTGGTATTTATTTCTTTATATTTTCTGTGAACTATTATCTTAACATCCACATATTACCGGACCTAAATTAATTAAGTAGACGCTGTTGCATTATTGACTAGTTTAAAACCAAAGATAGTTAAGCAATTAATTAAGATCATAAACATTAAACTGTACGTCGAAAGATAGATTATTTAAAAAATAACAAAGCAAAAAATTGTGATTTTCCACCAATAAGCTATTTTAGGGAAAAATTAAGTTAAAAATTATGTATAAGTTTCTTTAAATAATTTTATCATGACAAAGGTGAACTGAAAAACGTGATAGGGTAAGGTTGGTGATAAAACAACCCCGAGCAACCCGGGTGATGTATGCAGTAGTGCCACCCTACCAACGTTTACTGCCCCACGGGCAAAGAATAGCAAATATGACCTTTGCGAGCTTTTAAACTTTTTTGTATTATGTGCCCTATATCGAAATAAACATTTTCACTAAAATCGCAAAGTGGCGATTTTAAATTACATATTTTTTTGTCTTACTGCAGCAAAAACAGCCGTTTTAAATACATGCTTTGCGAGTCTAGTGGGTAGAAAATCAACCCTAGGGAGTAAAAATCCGCTGTTGTCAACTCAGTCGTACATTTCGATTTCAAGCAATCCATAGTCAGAGATCGACGAGACAGACAGATAGTATGTATCGACTGTTTAATCATTTGTTATATCGAAAACACACACCAATGCCATATAATGCAAATCTTAAATGTTGTGGCCTAAAGGCATCCAATGTTTAAAATTGTTTAAACCTTTTGATCACTAATTTATTATAGTGTAAGAATGATTTGCATGCGGAAGGGGAAGATTTAATTTGTCATTCCTCAAGAGTTAGATAGTGAAATGGGAACGTTGGTCCTACTGCATACATAACCTGGCTAACTCAGAGATATTTTATTGCCAACCTTACGAATTCACAATTCCCAGAGCACGTTTATCACTGTAAACGTGTCTGGAGAAGGAATTTACAGACTAACTTCCTTCCAAGAACGTTTTGTCTTTTGTTCACTGCATGATGAATAGCCTTTGTATTTTTAATCGAAAATATGAATATTTTATTAAGAAAACATTTGCTTATATATCATACTAGTTCATATACAAATTATTTATTATTATTAGTGTTCCTACTTCCTACTTTAAATAAATACTATTTCAATTCTGCTTGGATAATAATTCGAACAAGACAAGCAAGATTAATTAAGCAAGGTTAATTTCAATTAACCAAAGCTTGGTTGTTTTTGGTATTTGTTTTTGTTTTGGCCAAAATGGTTAATTTTAGTGATGATATAAGTTTTTTCCCTCTCGTAAAATCTGGGCATAGTTATTCTACATAACTAAATTATCTTAATACTCATTTTTCTATGCTGCTAGTGTTACCTTATAGTTTTTATCCGTTAGATTAAAACTTAAGCTACTACAACCCATTACAGTTAAAAACAACTGTTTCCTCAAATAAAATATAACAGACTAATTCAGTTTTCTGATAAATAAATAATTATAGTGAGAAGGGCAAGGCAACTTTGATGGGTTAACCGAGAGCTCCTTTGAGAAGCAGTGGCAATCTGCATTACATGAATAACCATTCGCGTTTCCTTCTCGATATCAACCCTCGATCTAGATTATTTGAAATCCACTCCTAAATCATTATCGAGATATCTATGTGATCCAAGATGGTTTGGAATGTCGAATTGTATAGTTAATGTCAAATTTGAATAATTTTTATTCGTGTAACTACATAACACTAATACTGACTTTATCGGATCGAACCGGCTTCCATTTCATTAGCATGTATGTTTGAGCACTACGTAATGAGCACTACGACCAATCAGATACATATAATGATGGATTAGTCAGACCCTACCCTCCGAATTGTAAAACCGGTCATTATCTACTTAATCAATAAGGATATCCAATCATCAATCACCTAATTTGAACATAGTAATAGTTGAACATACAATATTAATGAGGCCTTGAAGTAGTACACATAGGTTAGAGATGTTCTACAACCGATGGGTAACACTCTACTTCTTTGGTGGATGTGATAGAATTCTATACATACACATACTGTATTTGCTATTTTTAAACCAGACTAGATTAATCTTTTAGATATTGTATTCTGAAGAACATACATTGCTCTGAAAAGGCGTTTTTAATGAGAGTTTCCATGAGTTCCGAGTTGCATTTGAGTTTTTAATGAATGATGCTAGACTCAAAATCTGTTATGATTTATTGTATTTAACTTTTATAACTGGCTGCACTACTTGAAAAGCGGCCAGTCAATTTCCAAATAATGTCAATGTATGTAATAAGTTTGTACTCAATGGAAATAAATTCATTCATTCATTCATGTTATTTATTCATATTTTTCATAACTAAGGGGCACTAAATTGCCATTTTAAGTTGGGTAATTATATATTGAATTATTCAAGGACTTGTCGCAAGATAAAATTCGATATCAAGAATTGTAATTAATGAGCTGAGAGTAAGGCGATACTGTACGGGACAATCTCTTTCCTTTGTCCAATAATTGGATTAATATTTCAGGGTTGTTCAGAGTCCCCGTTTAGGAACATTTTTCTTTTAGGTACACTTTTTTCAATCGTATTCCCTTCATTATATGGATATAATAAACCATCACAGACATTACTCAAAATGCCAACCAATAATCATATGAATAAACTTTATCGCATTAGTTATACCTCCGTATATTTAATAATTTTAATTAAATGTGATCACCACTCGCCACTCCACACCCTGACCTACCCTCCATGTTCCAGGTGCCGGTGACGCTATGTACCCTGGGTGTAGGAGCGACGTTTGGAGAGTCCATCCTCCAGGACCTTCCCCGCGAGACGACGGTCATCACGCGGTCCACCTGTGAACTTCTCCGCGTAGAGCAACATGACTTCCGCCTCATCTGGGAGGTAAATTGTCAATATGGTTTTAGATTTACAGTTACAATTGCGAGTTAACAGATGTTTTGCAACTTTTTCATAGAGTTGTTGTATGTATTCTTATGTTGTATAACACCTTAGGCTTGAAAAGTTTCATTAAATTGTTATCAAAATTATTTAGTTATAGATACTATGTTTAATTGCTTTAATCTTAAACAGAAAAATTATCACAGCAACTGTATTGTAATGAGTTAGTTAGTCAACGTATTTTAATTGGTAAATTGATCAGTTTTCGTGAAAGGAATTTTATCAATATTTTCTTATTGCCAGGTAGATTTACGCCTCAAGATAGAGAAAAATCTAATTTATTTATTTCTAACTTAACTTGTTGTCTTTTTTCTCTTACTATTTTTAATTAATAGATAAAAATAATTTTAAAAATCACAATGCAAGAGATACATGAATTTTATGGTATCTACATGTAGTATATATGTATTAGTTTTAAGACTCACTGTGTAATAAAGGTTATTTTGTACATTAACCATAAATACTTAAGAAACGTATAAACTTCATGAATGCGCTATACTCGTTTACCAACTAAGTGTTATTATCAAGTTCAGTGAATCAAAGTACTTACATACCTCAAAGTACTTAGGTCTTGCTTCTACATGAAAGGTAATAAAGCGTGTTTTAATACAACATTAATACAACTTAATACAGTGTACATGTTGCTCGAAATCGAGTAATTGCATAGAAGTACAGGAGTTGTTTATAAACAAATAACTTGTTTAAATAGTAATAATAATCATAATTTCCGATGATTTTAAAAGAGTAAACTATAAGATTACTAACTAATGGAAATACTCGCAATTTACATAACAGTCCTATTCCAGTTTAAAGGTTTATTTTTTAACAATCAAACTGTCCATGGACGGGAAATGGTAAGCTTACAATTTAAAAGTCAACGTAAAAAGGCTGTCAGCTTTTATAAAGTGCCGTACCTATGTTATTTAGCCAATTTGTAGACAACGAGGTGAAGGCTACTTTAAACCATTGACTAAGGAAACAAAGGGAAACTTTGTTTCCCTTGTCTGCGTTTAAACTCTACAGGACAGAGTTAGGCAAAAACTGGTAGAACTCTGAAATGGTGTTATTTATCATAGACTTACTCATATGCCAAATCCTTAAAATAAAAATTCAATAACTTATAACTTATATCATTAAACACAAACCAACATCCAAAACTATACACATTTTTAATACAACATGGATAATTTACACATTGACTGTTTACAATTAACATATGTTCTTCTTCTCGATATTAATTTTTGCTTCGCAACTGGAAAAATCAGTTTCATAATCATTTAAATAGACTTATTTTTAGTTAGTTATTTTTTTCATAGTTGATTTTTTTTTTTTGGATCACCTGTCTGAAATTTTGAAATAGGCATTTGACAGTTCTGGTTGTTTACATTTAAATTTCAAATCAAATGTAAACAATTGTGAATTTTCTCATGCTTCCATGGAGACCAATTATTAATATTTAATTCATGACAACAGCTGGAGTTTCAAAACAATGTTTGTTTCCCATGTTAATCTTATGGAGAAATACGAAACTTTAAAGGGCCCCAGGGCCTCACTCTCTACATATTTTCGTAAAAAGAAAGTTTCCTGCACAACTTCACGTTACCGGTACGCTCTTTCTAATTACACTAAAAACATGTCAATCGGTTCAGTAGTTTCGGAAGAGTAATTGTCACAAAAATCCTGCTTGCGTATTAAATAAGTATAGATTTTAATAGCTTAGTATTAATTGAATTATTTTGCCAAATTTTATCAAAATGCATTCATAAACAAGCATACGACAACAGTTAACTTCCTCTCAAAAAGAATTCATCTCCTCGCAACGATTGAAAGTACAAAAACACTTTAGCGTAATAAATTATTAGTTTTTTTAAGCTCTACGAAATAGTTTTGAAAGGAATTGCAAAACTGTATGTTTTCGGAAACAAAAATGGGGAAACAGATTCGTAACAATATATATTTAAACTAATAAAACCTACACTAGTCCAATAAGTGTCATGAAAGTTTTAATAGCAATAAATTATAATATATCATCAAGAGTAGGCTAGTATCAGCTACTTGCCATGGTTTGGTCTGATGGAGGCAGATTGCTCCGCTGCAAACGACCTTCTGATTGCGCTCCAAGTTTGAAGCATCAATCCTAAATTACAGCAGCATTGTAACTGCTGAACTGTAACTGAGATTCAGGACCTGATATCCAATCAGCAAAGGGCTTTTATCACCCTAACTGTCTGTCTTTGACAGCTGAAGCGGCTGACGAAGTTTAGCTGATTTGTCTCCTAATAATAGTTGACACCATTAATACTTAATACAGTAGTTGCTTTCTATACTTCAAATCATTATTAAGTAAGTAAAACCACAGATTTTTTTTGTCTTTCAAACTATCACATCGTTGCTTTTGTAGAATGATTAAGATTATTTTTAATTTAATTACTTCTGTATTGGAATTGACATTAGTCAAGGCAGGGTGATATACAAAGCTATTTTAAAACTTATGATTGGGGATTATGGTATTGAGATAACTCAATCTTAAACATCATGACAATTTTAATGACCTTGGTAAAATTACTCTATAAATATTAGTGTTTTATATGCAAACTTCTGAATGCGTAGGCTTATATAAAATGGTTGTACTGCGCTGCATCACAAAGAACTATAACATTTCTTACTTCTCTGTGGCTACATTCGAATGAGACAAGAAAATCGAATCGTAAATTGGTTAAATTACAAGTAAATCACGTTTACTTTTTCAAGTTGAAGTAATTCTTTCTCGACGAATTAAAATGCAAGATTGGTTTACACTCACAGCTTCAGTAGAATTTGAAAGTATTTTTAAAGTGCATTGTTCACTTGCAATTAAATAGTATTTTACGAACTTGGTTCATTGAATAAACCTGGTGACGAAACAAAATACAGTATAGAGACATCTTATATGCATGTTAACTTATCAATTCCAACTTTGGCTTTGTAAATATTATAACCCTTTGACAGCAAGTATTTACATACAAATAAAGCCATATTTTGCAAAATGTAAGCACTAAGCGAAGGTATAATATAATTGCGCTTTAAACGTAAATAAATAAGAAACATTGTGAAAGCCAACCTAAGCCTAAGAGGTGAAATATATCAAAATTATGTCTCCAAAACTTGTAAAAACACTTTGTTCAAAATTTTTAGAGCTTGAGACTCTGAGGACCCAAAACTTGTATAGTCATAAAGTCAGTCAGTGAGAGATAGAGAGAAAAAGTATTAAGTCTTCATAAATATAGCTAAGAAAAGAAACTTTTAAATGATAACAAACGAGCCATGACAGGGTAATTATTCTTCTCTCCATTTCCGCCATTGTGATGTTAATGTTAAATAAAGACTTCATAAATGAGCTGCAGCGCTACCAACTGACAGCTGGGCGAATTAAAATGTCGTTTGCGCCAAAAATGGAAAACCGCTGTCCTCACAGTGGTTTGCGAGATGAAATTATTCATTTTGGAAAAATAAATTGTTAAAGATTTTGCCTGGAAGTAAATGAGACTTCTCCGCATTTAAATAGCGTAAATAAGGTATATTTTCCATTTTTCATGCTGTAATGTTGTGCACAATTACGAAGGGTTGCATTTACTTGGTATGTGTATGATTCATGTTCCATGCTTACTGTTAAGAATCACTAGTTTATGTTTATTACGAGTACTTCCTTTCTTCGTAGTGAATTTTCATTGATCTGATGAATACAAAAATATTATTTCACTAAATTTAATGTCATATTCTTTTACGCATACTTTTAAACTGAAACCATAGGGTTCTAATATAAATTTAAATTGTCAAAATTTATTTTCAATGACATTTTGTACCCGCCTTTTAGATGTGGTTAATATTTTGATGGCAACAGATTCGTGGTTAACTCTTTCCACCACTACGGTCAACATATTATGAGAAATTTCAGATTAAAACAATGTGTAAAATGAGATTTTACATAAAATGTTTAGTAACATTAGGTATGAAGATTGAAAAAAAATATGTAAGGTTTATACATTACCATTATATTGTTAAATTAATTAGATTTTCCTTTTCAGAAAAACAAAGATCTTATGGGTGACCTCGTTGCCGGATGCAAAGTAAAAAATGGTAAGTAATTAATTATTAAAAATAGCTAAAAGTGTACCAGATTAGACCCAGACTAATTGGCAATTATCTACTGCAATATGTAAAGCAGGCTTAACTAGTGCTGCATTGCATTAGCTTTCAAATTTAATTTAGTTTGCTAGTATTATTCATTGCACGGCATCTACTTAACATAAAACCCCAAAAGTATGACTATTTAAACAAAAATGCATTTATAATGTGGTCAAACTTGAAGTCCTTGAAGTGGTAAAACAGCAAGTGCACGCTAGAATTGTAAGACCCACCAGGACGTAATTTTCTTATGAAAAATATAATTAAACCTACGCAGACAGATCTCCTCCCTGCAAAGCCTTTCGCTGAAGTACCAAGGCTCTCCCAGCTTAGTATTTTAATCTTTACCAAAAGTATTGTATTTTAATAGCCACGAAATTATAGAACGGTTGTTACTTTTAACTTATTGTTGTATCTAAGACAGAATAAACAGTGTCATCAATCAGACAGGTACTTTCACCCATTAGTACGTCTACAGCCCATGTCATTAGCGAGTGGTAGGTTATGAAGATAATCACAAAAGTTACATTATCTTTGGAACCATTACACAGCAATTGGGGTTGTATCATCTATAAGTATAAAAGAGGATGTTTGTATGTTTGTTTGTTTGGCAGTGATAAACTCAGACACCGCTGAACCGATTGCCACGAAACTTGGTACATACGTGTAGAATGTCATGGAATAGGTTTATACACCATCAATTTCGTGATCCGTCCAATCGGCTCCGCCCCAGTGGCTCTGGAGTTTCCCATGTTAACCTTATGAAAAATGGAATTAATGAATCTTAACAGCTGTTTCAATTAAACAAGTTGGTTCTGTTCTATGATGTTCAATAGCATTAAAGTTACAAGGATTACCAACAGGGTGCAGCACTGTTATTTCTTTTACATTTATGACAACAGCTAATTTGCAACCAAAAGGTGAGTGAGCGTAGCGAACGAACTTCAACCTGGAGGCGAGTTAGCGTAGCGAACGAGCTAACCTGAAGGCAAGTGAGCGCAGCTAACGAGCTCCAACCTAAAGGTGAGTGAGCGTAGCGAACGAGCTCCAACCTAAAGGTGAGTGAGCGTAGCGAACGAGCTCCAACCTAAAGGTGAGTGAGCTTAGCGAACGAACTTCAACCAGGACGTGATTGAGCCATGCGAACGAGATCATCTTGAAAATTAAGAAGTTAAACGGGGCAAAGCCCGCGGGATTATAAACTGTCAAAGGCAAGACAACGTCTGCCGGGTTCAGCTAGTTTCGTATAAGATTTGAAATTATAATCAGGCCGTTTGTTCGATAATCCGATTTTTCCTGTTATTATATGGGTTTTAAGTGAAAATCACAAGCTGCAATAGCTTTTAACCGTAATTGTTTCAGCAATGAGGGTTGTACTGTTTTGTTAAGACTTAAAATTGGTATAACATACTTTGGTTTAATCAAAATCGTTCAAGTTTTTTTTACAAGATTTTCCGTTATTTTATGGGATAATGGGCATTAACAATCAAAATTTATAAAAAATTATTAAAAACGCCTGGAGAAATTATGCAAAAATACCCACATATCATACTTCATCAACATCAAACCACATTTTGTGTGCATTTTGAACATAGAATACGCTCAGAAATCACTTCGAAACCCCCTTTTTTAGGTTCAGGGACACCCAAAACGGATATTTCCATCTAAAACTCGAACTCTAAAATTTTTTGCAGTATAAACAATAGGTATTTTCTCTATATATTGGGGGAGAAAGTAAAAGCATAACGATATTTTGTCATAAAACCTGGGATGTTTTTTTTTTACAATACCTGCTTGAATCCTACATTTAAATCAATCTCATTCGTTTTCCAAAACACGCATTAGATTAGGATATTTATTTAGTTACACTTTCAAGTAAATAAATTGTTCACGTCGATCTAAATATTCTAAAATGTAACTATGTTAATAATTATTCGCTGAGTAACTATAATATGCAGTAAACATGTAGCTTGCTGTATTATATCCCAGACACGTGGATGGTGAGTTGTAAACATGTATTTAGGCGCATAGCACACGCCGATCATAAACAAAGTATCTTTATTTGCCAACGTTTTCTTTGTTAAACTATCTGTCATAATCTTTTAAAGAGACTCAAATCAAATTATACCTGTATCTTCTTTACTCTCAAACGTTGAAGTCTTGTTACCAAGCAAATAAATCACACTGTGATCAAACTCGAATGCTTTTAAGGAATCAGCAAAGAGATCATCTTGTTTACTTCGTCTTATCTCAGGAGCTGTTTAGTGGAAAGAATCAAACTACGGTGACGAAATTCAATTTGTTCTTTCGGTTTGGCGCCTGGAAAATCCAAACGTAAACTTTTTATGGAAACCTTATAAAACCTATACTGAGCTGCTTCGGTGTAACTTCCACAAAATAACTGCCAAAGTTGATCCAGGCAAAGTTCTTTATTATTGTGTTAATCCCAATTTAACCTATACTAAACTAGGAGATAAAAAAAGGTTTTTTCCATTCTGCTTTAAGAACTCGTCGTTCACTAAGTCTGCAAGGTTTACTTTTTATGGGAGAAGTTACTTTAATTGGGTAGTTACTCAATTAATAAAATGGACATGAAAATCATATCCAGAGAGTACTTAAAGCTGCTATTTTTTTCAACCTCAAACGTTTAGGGAAGTAATTGGTGAAAAAAGGGGACGGTCAACGGTCAAACATAACTTACACTCTAACAAAGACTAAATATAACAGCCGCAGCAAACCTGCAGACTAGTGAATGTTCTGGGCTTATTTTTATGACAGACACAGTTTTTAATTCTTCTCTGTCAAATGCTCCTACGATTATTCAGGTGTTTAAACTGACTATTTGATTGAGGTAAAAGAAATCCTGTTTTCGTTGCTCTGCATTGCTACTAAAACAAATTAAATGTGAAATTTTCTTGAATCTGAATAGTACTTAGGCCCTCTATGGTGATTTTACTTATTTTATGAAATACACACAAGTCTATGAACAATGGACATTGTAAATTTTTAGCAGATTATAAAAAAAATACGTTTTTCACTAAGGGAGCTTATTCTTTGCAACGCACAAATGTACCTTTAAACTGTTTTTAGATCATCTGTAATAATGGTAAATCTATAAGCGATTATGTATGTGTCATAGAGTACGCTAAGACAAGAAAATCCTACGTCCTTATGATTCTTAAATTCCCTAATGTTTTTAGTAAGGGATTTCTATAGTCCGTTTTAACTGTGAAACGCCCTGGCTAGATTTTGTATAGCCGTGGAATTTTTGTAATATAACTTCTGTGGAGTTTTACATGTGAGTATATAAGTACGGAGATTTTTAGTGTTTCCCTTTTACGTAAAATGTTTATTTACTAGAAGCTGGAAGTTGGAAAAATGATAAGACGTGTAAGACACGGCGGGAAGCGGAAATGAAATGAAAGTGATAAACGTGATGGCGAAATTCCTGCAGGCGGACTTCATGCTTCTCTCGGGAAGCAAATACAACTTTTATCTTTACATAAACCTAACTTCCGCCTCTTAAACTAAATGAACAAACAAATTAAGTTTAAAACAACCTCAATTGCAGGGAATATTAGATTTGCATAATTCGTTAGTAAGAAGAGACTGCCTCTTGTTTATACATTTTTATTGTTGTGTTTTAACAAATATTTATCGACCTAACGAAATGGTAATGAGGAATAAACTATAGTTACTAGAAAAGAAAGTGAGTGTGACAATTAATCAAAACTCCTCTATAGTGGTATGAATTTTATCTTAAGTTATGTCTTGCGGTAATTTAGACACTCATCGTATCATAGCAAGTTCAAAAGACTGAAAGTTGTACTGTAGTTATCTACAATGTGCGTTTTTTTATTGAACATAAACTGTTATAGTAGTTTACGCAACGATTGCGTAAAGATATTGTGTAGAAAATTTAAGATACGAGCCTTGGCGAGTGCTTTAAAAACTTCTACGGGTGTCGTTAACAATATATGAGCAAGTTGTGTGTTTACACTACTTTACAGTGTTTTAATTACTAAAAATCACTACTCATAACTTCTAGGAGAGGTTATATTTTAGTTTATAACCTCTCATTGCCACTGACAATGATGCAACGAAACATTGTACCAAACACTAATTGCACCACTCAACAATTAAATTGGCCTGAACAGCTGATTAGTTGAAGCTGTAATCATTACAGTTTTGCTTCTTCTGTCTCAATCCTTGAACCTCATTGGCCTGTTACCCATGTTGTTATGAGTAAAACTATGCTGTTATGAAATTAAACAATGCTGGGACAAACAATTATGGGACACTTTTCAATTCTAGGAACTGAACTGAAACGGCTCCTTTCAAAAACGGTCGTAGGTAATAGTAGTTTACGCAAAGATTGCGTAAAGATAGTGTTAACAACACTAATAGAAAATTTAAGGTACGAGCCTTGGCGAGTGCCTTAAAGACTTCTACGAGTGTCGTTAACACTATTTACGCGAGTTGCGTACACTATTTTACCTACGATAGTGTTTTAATTACTAAAAATCTCTACTCATAACTTCTAAGAGAGGTTTTGTTTTAGTTTATAACCACTCATTGTCACTGACAGTGATGTAACGAAACATTGTATCAAACACTAATTGCACCAATCAAAAATTAAATTGGCCTGAACAGCTGATTAGTTGAATTTTGAATCATTACAATTTTACTTTTCCTCTCTCAATCCTTGAACCTCATTGGTCCGTTACCAGTGTTGTTATGAGTAAATCTATGCTGTTGTGAAAGTAAACAATGCTGTTATGGGATACTTTTCAATTCTAAGAACTGTACTTTAACGGCTGCTTTAAAAAACTGTCGTAGGTAAAAATGTTTACGCTACACTACACTATTTTGACGAACTTCCCACGCAAGGATTTAGTCCAGAAAACAGCTGTTTGTTGCCAGCCTAATCAAATGGGGTTTCATTGCATACTACTGTACTGTAATGAGTTTACCTACGACAGTTTTTTTTTTTTTTTTTTTTTTTTAAATAGCCGTTTCAGTTCAGTTCTTAGAGTTTAAAAGTTTCACATAACAGCATTGTTTACTTTCATAACAGCATAGTTTTACTCATAACAACACGGGTAACGAACCAATGAGGTTCAAGGATTGAGAGAGGAGAAGTAAAATTGTAATGATTCAAAATTCAACTAATCAGCTGTTCAGGCCAATTCAATTGTTGATTGGCGCAATTAGTATTTGATACAATGTTTCGTTGCATCACTGTCAGTGGCAATGAGAGGTTATAAACGAAAACATGACCTCTTTTAGAAGTTATGAGTAGTGATTTTTAGTAATTAAAACAATGTCGTAGGTAAAGTAGTGTACGCAACTCGCGTAAATAATGTTAACGCAATCGTTGCGTAAACTACTATTACCGGACACCAATCAGCTGATTATACTGTATTTGGGTGGCAATGAGTAGTTATAAACAAAAACATAACCTCTATAAACCTTTAGTTGGTGGCAATTTATAAGGACTTGTACAGATTTAGTAGTATGGCGTAAACAATCGTACGTTAACTTGTCCAAAATGTGTGTACCGGACTTGTATGGTAATCCCGTACTCGACTTCGTCTCGCACGGGAACGACCACACTCGTCCGGTAAACACTTATTTTCAGGACTAGTAACGTAATATACTATTTTAAGTTGTGTTTCCGATTTCCTAATGATTTACAGGTTTTTTTTTTAAACAGACTAAACCTACAGATTTAAGATGTTATTTTGGTGATTTTGAAAAAAATGCATTTTTACGTCTGTCTTGCCTTATCAAATGAAGTGTGCAAAATTATTTTATGATTGGAACTTCTCATACTATTCAAATGAGTTTAAGCACAAAATAATAAATATGGTTGGAAAATTTCACAAAAAATGGATTTAGTGAATAGTAATTTGTTAGGCCTACTAGGTTTAGTTGGCGTAAACATTGTCGTTCCCCATCGCAGAATAAATATACAGGGTGGTAAAAAAGTCCCAGGACAGTTAAATATTTTAAAAAATAATGCAGATAGAGCTACAAGACTTGGTACAAAGTTACAGGGCATAAAACTCTATTTTAACATATATTCAGTGATCCAATAACTCTTCAGGGGGACGGCCCACAAGGAGTCGGAAGAAAATCTTAAACGGAAGCATAGGTCAATATGCACATCAAATTAAAGGTCTTTTTTAGTAGAATACAATGCCGCAAACCGCACCTCAAAAGGTTGATCCTGCGCAAAATGACAGATGTTCAAAGATTTCTTGAATCCGCCATTTTGAATCTTTGAACGACTGCCATTTTTTACTCAGACATTCTTTTGAGCTTGAATTTACGGCATCGTAATCTACTAGTGAAGACCTTTAATTTGATGTGCATATCGACCTATGCTTACGTTAACAATTTTCTTCCGATTCTTAGGAGACAATCTCGTTTGGACTTATAAAATAACCTAATTACTTTCACAATCGCACTTCCCTCGCTTTTATCAAGTTTTTCAACCAGTCTGCGAAATAGCAATGTAAATTAAATGAATCTTTGAACAACTATCATTTTGCGCAGGATCAACCTTTTGAAGTGCGGTTTACGGCTTTGTATTCTACTAAAAAAGACCTTTAATTTGATGTGCATATTGACCTATGCTTCCGTTTAAGATTTTCTTCAGACTCCTTGTGGGCCGTCCCCCTGAAGAGTTATTGGATCACTGAATATGTGTTAAAATAGAGTTTTATGCCCTGTAACTTTCTAAAAAGTATTGTAGCTCTATCTGCATTATTTTTTAAAATATTTAACTGTCCTAGGACTTTTTTACCACCCTGTTTAAACAAGAATACCTATGTAAAATCAGATACAGTAACAAATAAATCTTCGATGCGATTCATCACAGAACTAAGAGATCTTTTCTATAGATTTAGTATACATGTATTAATCGGAAATTAAAAAGACCATCCGGCATAGAGGGAAATTTTGTTATCATTATGGGACATAACAGTTTGTTAGGTTAGCCATACTGCTCTCGCTCTGTGATGTTTCACAGCTCCACAGCTGATGTGTTTATTCAGATTAGCTGATTCGATTGGTCTCAGTCAGTTCATTGTTGATCTCACTACGAGACTCAAAACTCGTTCTCTTGCAAATTGAGTGGAAGGAAGTAGAAGTGAGGAAGTTATGATTTGATTATAAAACTTCCTGTGTATTTGCAAGTCTTCAGTTCGGGTTGAAGTGTAGTTCCTGTTTCAGTTCCAAGGGTGAAATGTCTTGGTTTTAATTATTTTAAGATCTTTTATCGTTTGAGTGATTAAATTCTGAGTGAGTAAAATGCCAGAACCATCTGATTTGGAGGAACATGATGTAGTTAATGAAGGTATTTACTAACCATTTATATTCTAGGCAATGTTTATGAAATAATATTAATTGTAATATTGATTAAAACTTTACATACTGTACTGGACTATTCGTTCTACAGTGATTCTGTATTTAATCTGTTTGGATAATATTTTGTCAACAATTTCCCTTTCCTTTAAAAATAATAGAATTTAATATACTGTACTGCTATAATAGTTTTTCATAATAAAACAAACACTAAAGACGTTTATAATATAATCTCATGTTTACGTTGAGAAATTGTTAAAAATATGGTTGAGAAATGTAAGTTTAAGTGTAGGCCCATAGCACCAAGTTAATAGAAATGTACAACAGTTCATCCTACAAAAGGCTTGGGTTTGATTGAAGCAATATATTCCCTTCTCTATTGTTGTAACCCTATAAGAATTGTGTAACCGCTATTCATGCAAGGCTTAATATTAGGCCCTATAAAATGTATATTTCTATTACCATTCTTATCCCACATCTTATATCTTAACATGTTTACAATTAATCTTAATTCAGATCAATCAACTCCCTCTGTCTTTTTGTGTATATTTTATGGACAAAATAAAATAGCCATATCATACATAAAATGCCTAAATAACATCACATTTATTATCTTGTTTAGTATATCGTTAGATTGAAACCTTTCAAGATTTCTAGAGCCTAAGACCTCTGTGATGATTTGTGCAGGTTTTGGCCCTGGGGTGACCAAATGTCAGTCGCCTTCTTCACCTCCGGTCTCCCAATCACGACGGACTCTCAGTCCTGACAACTCCAATCCGGCCGAGCCTATCACAGATGTAGGTATTATGTCTGTTACGCGCCAACCGTGTGATATGTAAAGAGAAGCATTATCCTTGCTAGAGACCTGTCCTTTTTGTTCTTCTTTTTTCCCCACAGGGAAGAATTGGCCTCAAGACTTCAAAAACTTTACGTCTTTGTGGTTTTTTTTAGATAGTTGCGCTTAATGCTGAAGCAATATTGAAGATTGGCACAATTTGGACCTGATATAAGCTTTTTTATCAATTTATATTATGGGCTCCGTATAGCCTATGCATTTTTTCCAAGATTCTACCAAATACAATGTTTGAAGTCTATGGAAATGGCAGCACTTTTAATTTTCTTTTGTTGAACTAACATTGTTTTAAGCCATTAGTGATTGGTATTAGTCTAATTTGTTTTACTTACAATTTTCTTTAAGCATATTTACATATTTTTTTACACCAATCTTATTGCAAAAGTGTTGTGTTATTTGTTTACTTTGTAACAAAATTTGAAATCTATACTTATTTAATTTTAAATAAAATCCTGTAATATTTGGTTTTATTCAATTAAAATAGTTGTGCGCATACCTGCAGGTAATTTGGCTGTAATAGTGATACAATGGTCTGAAAACCTCCTCAAAAATAGTTACTTATACAAGGTCACTCATGCAGCCTGAACAGGAAGTTTTAGTTTGTTTTGGAGTTAACCATGTCAGTGTTGTCAACATCTAAATGATTCTCCTATAATGTTAAGACATCATCATAAATGTTTTCATTATTTAATCATATGGGACCTTTCAATAGATTAATTAGTTGTGTTTTGGAGAATCGCCACTCGCCAGATCAATAAGTACTAAGAAAAATCCAGTCTAAGCTAAATTATATCAGTTTCCTCGATGTATTTATTTTACATCCTGCAGATAAAGACTATATTTGAAAAGTCTTTGTTGTTTAAGTGAATGACTCATACCAGGGGCAATTCTATGAATTTATAGTTTTGTTTTGGAGATTCACCATATCAGTATTTACTCCTCATTTTTCTAATCTTTCTTGTATCATAATTGCCTCAGAATATAATCTGTCTCTCAGATATCATATGAATCATACCAAGGGAATGTCATTAAGGGTTACACACAAATTACTATATCATATGACATCCTACTGATTGTATTTGGAGTACTTGTTTATTTTATTCACAAACAATTGTTACAAACGATTAATACCATAGATAAAACATACTCCTTTAGTAGATTATATATATCATAATTCTCATCCTTATGGTTCAGCTGGATAAAATTGTATTGTTCCATTCATTGCACTCTAAAGGTTGTGTTTCCTTTACAATTAGTTTCTTGTAATTTCAGTCATTTAAAACCTCGTTTACCTCAATAAAACGTTGTTATAAACAATAACTTGTTGTTATAACCTCAACCAAAAAGCTGCGGAAGCTTGATCAATCAATAAGAGATCATTAATAATATGATCAATAATATTATCATTTTTTTTTTATGTAATGGAGTTTAATGTTACATACTTAGTTATATTACCAAACAGTAAAGCAAAATCACGAAATCTGTCCAAAATAATAGAAACAAAATTTCGTCGACACAAGCGATCAGTGTCACCAACATGAACTGAACTAGAACTAGACACGAAAAACGAGCCTCAAATTTTACAATGGGATGAGAAGTCTACTTGTGTTGGTTAGTCTATGTTAATACTGTACTTATTTTATATTGTTCCAAAATTTATATCATCAGTTGTACATTTTTATGAAATACACGCCATCAATATTAATTGCAAATTAAAGAATAATAATAGTACACACTGTCCATACACTTTGACCTTTGACTAGTATCCAATGACTAAAATTTTAATTGTTACATTGTTCCAAACAATGCAGGTGTTAACCCACTGTTTGGACTTTTTTATCCAGCTGTGTTAAATTTGTAATTCTAGTCAATTTTTTTTTTCGTGTTAGAAGTAAAATTATCACGTCTTCCTCCTACGAATGTGGTTAGAATATTTCATGACTCAGGAATCATAACCTGTACTGTATAGAGAATATGTACATCACAAGAAGGTTTCCTATTCAGTGTGACATTAAATGATTCATGTTTCATTATGAGTCAGCGACGAGCGACACAAAGTAAAAGTTGTCTAGAGAGTTTGCATTACAGAGTTCATAACTTAAACATTGGTGAGGTTCACATGTTACACACAGAAACAAAATCATGCCATTTTCATAATCTTCTTATTATATTTGTTTTACACCATTCTTATAATGCAAGACACTTATAACATTTCTGTGATTTTTCTTTATTTTTAAAATTAAATTAAATTAACTTAGTAAAACATGTGAGACAGAATAAAATGGTTTACTCGGTGAATCAATCTATATGACATCTTGATTAATTAATATTTTGTAAATGGTGTATGTCTTGATTAAGCAAAATCCGGATTTTTGGGAAATTATAAAGCGATTTGTTCTTTTGGTCACCTAGACCCCGAGCGTGGCGATGGCTCGTGCGGGCTGGGTCTTGCGTACCTTGCTGCTCAACGACGCCAGCTGTGTGCTGCGTGATCGTAAGAGCGCCGGGGGTCGCCTGGTGGTGCGCCGTTGTGCCAGTGGCTCAGAACTAGTGGACTGGCTCATGGGGTTGGATCCACGAGTGCCGTCGCGCCATGTCGCCACTGGCATGTGGCAAGCTCTTCTTGAAGAGGGCGTCATTTTCCATGGTAAGTAATTTTGTGTAATGTATTTTCATAAAGGTTTTTAGTCAATCTTACACTGTTGGTAAGCTGTAAATAATAAAGCGTTTCTTCGCTGCACGCTTAAAAAAATGTTGCATTAGGGATATTTTACTTATTGAAGCATGGCATATTAGTCTCATTGGGGATTATTTCTTAATTTTTTATATATCTAAATCATTTGACTATGGACATAACTTAGATAATTCCATTCTCAGATTGGGTCTGTTTCAGAATCAAAAATGAACTTAAAGTTGAATATTGAGCCACCCACGCACCCACCACAGAATGCACTTATCATTATTATTTATGTTGAATACACCAACTTTTTATTTTAAGCAACCTTTAACAAAATGATAATACTAAATAGATTATTATCTTTAACTAAAACCAATCAAACAAAAAGCGCATGAACAAAAGACTCTTGGGTTTTGTATGGTTTTTTTAAAAAAACACGCACAAGATGATTCATTTTTAAGGATCAGCCCAATGAGTAAAACCACTCCAAAATGATAATCTCTCTAAAATGTCCTCATCTTTTGGCTCTAGATTTATCTGGAGATCATTAACAGCTAATCTTTACAGAGTTAAATCAACCTGATCTTGGATTATCTTGGAATGGCTGTTTGCAAAGTTGTTCACCCTGAGTTAGTTATTTAATTGAGTAATTTATATATTTTATCATTGTGTGGTTCTGTATCCCATCGTTTGATGAATTACTATACTGTCTGTATAACATGAACGTTGCCTTACAAAGATTTACAAATTGCAATAAAATGAAAACATCTAGCGGACTCTAGTAACTCCTCAGTCCAGAGCATTCCTACAGATTGTTTAATTTACATGAGTAGGAGTCATGTGTGTGAAGAACAGTTAGCTTATCATGGTGATAAGCAGTTTCCTCCATTATCTCCTCCTACAAGTAAATATGGTCTGGTTTGACAAGCAATTCATTGTAATGATCTACTATTTGTTTCCTCTGGATCCATTGTTTGGCATTATGTAAATCTTAGATATTACATTCCTTGAAATCTTATCTTCACTTATAATAATTTTCCCATACCTCTAGTACTTTTTAGGATTCTCTTAAGATTCTAATTTATAAAATGTTTTTTATCATACAGACAATTTATTGAAAAGTATAGACTATTATATTTCAATATTACTATAGTGTTAAAATATTTATAAAAATATTTTAAGTCCCATGATCCATCACAGTATTAAAAATAATAATACAAAACTGTACCTTTATAGTACAAACTTGCATTCTAAAAGGTTTGTTTAGTTATTAAGTGGATGGGTAAGGCTAATTCATAACAAAGCTACAGCTAACCACTTTAAAATAATGTATATAAAATTATATACAATATTAAAACACACACACACACATTTGTAACCTAATCTCAAAAATAAAAATGATGTGTCTACCAAACACATATTACAACATCACTCATGCACTAAGCACTCACCTACTTTATATCACTTGATAAGTACCAGTATGTCATTCATTATCAGACTGGGAATAGTTTCAAGATAAGAGCAATGTGCACACCTGACCGGGTTAGACTTAGACGCTCAAGATTTTCCTCTCTAGATGGGGAATTTTTTAGTCTTACAATCATGCTATTCCGGATGAAGTTGCTAGATAGGATCCTAGGGTGGCTGGGAAGATGTCTGGATGTGGATATCTCCAGTAGAAGGAGGCTAGGGAACAAATATCTTGTGTACAATCATGTTTATTGTGACGGTCAGTGATTAATTTTTATCTGCTACATAGTACATACATAGTACATAGTTTGCGCTAATAGTAGTTGTTTTATTTTACTCTTAAAGCAATTTTTTTAAACTAATGCTTGTCAAAATTATTTATATAGGTATATGTTATTCATAAGTGTAGACAATAATTTTGTTACATTTATTTAACAAACTAAACTTAACCTGTGCTCAGAGTTTGTTCACTGATTGTGTAGAATGACCTTTGCTGATGAATTTTCTGATCTTAGGTACCCTCTATTCAGTGTGCTTTAAGTGTTTTCATTTAATTCAAATTGCACATTCATCTTGCAAGAGTCACTAATGTTTGTTGGCATCATGTAGTGATATTATTCAGTTTATTTGTCTCTTACACACTACAATACGTAGTTTAATCTTATTGAATTGAAATTTGGCTCTTTTTACTTACCGATTTTTTACACTGTTCATTTATTAAGGAGATAAATGAGATCTGGCGTGTATCTTATTTGCTATGATTTAATCACTGATTGTTAAAAAAGTCTATCAAAATTAGTACAGTTCTCTAAAAATCTCATTTCTACATACTTCTTTCTTTTCTTAGAGCATAATATTTCCAGTGATTGTGACATATTTCCAGTAAATCAGCAGGGTCAGAATTTACTTTGCAAACTGTCAATAATTTTGAACTCCCTCTCCCACAGCCACTGCCGAGCATGGGTTCAAAGACAAGTGCCTCCTATATCAGTTCTGGCAGGACCGCGAGGGCTCCACGAGTATTCCCTCGGCGCAGGATATCGCAGAGGCGGAGGAGCATTTGGACGAGGCAATACAAGAACTGACAAGAAGAGCTCCAGACGCCACCCTGCGAATGATACTGCGGAAATCGTATGTAGCAAATGTCTTAAAAACTGGTTCAGCCATATTTTTCTTTTGTCCTAGTAGGAATAATATATCTTTATAATTTGGAAAAATTATTATAATATCTCTATGATTGTTGCAGGCAGTTTTACATTGTGTATAGCAATGGCCATTTTAGTTAACTTAGTAGTTAGAAAATACTGTATAGAATTTGCATAATGTAACAAATTCCATGGTTGGATCAAAATCTCCTTCTATTATAATATTTTGCCGGATATTACATACTATGATGTGCATTGAGTAAAAACAATCTTTCTTCACTATCAAATAATGGAAGGTGGCTAGTGACTTTATGGGATTGTGTAGACAAAACATACAATACAAATCTCAGAGTTGTATAGAACATAAATAAATTTAGTGCTGGTCTTATGAAATTAAAAACAGCATTAAGTAAATACTGTACATTTTTCTCCGGATAAAACGATTTTCATTGACTCAACTGCCCGTCACCATTCTGATCGGTGATCCAAAGGCAGTTTTTTTTATTACTTTTTATTCCTAACATGCTAGGCTCTAACCCAGGATCGTTCTTAACATTACTTCAGGGCAGACCTCAGAGATTAGGGCATTATCACTTAGATAAAATCCATTGGTGATTTGGCAGGATTTGAACCCGAGACCTGAAGGGACGGAAGTCTCAGGCTCTACCACTAGGCCAGCTCGCTCCCTACTAAAGGCATTTGGGTATTAAGTCACATATACAAACCAGTTGTAGAGTGAGTTTGGTGGCTGGTCTTGAACCTGTCCCTGAATGTATTCGTATTGCTTTGCTAATCAGTTCAAGATGCTACCACTGAGGCACTCTTTTTGGTTATCACCAGTGCTTGATTCACATTTAACTATCAATCAATCAATCAATCAATCAAAATAACTTTATTCATATTGCACATTTTGTACAGAATGGAGTCAGTTATAAAAACACAATATTAAACTTAAGACTACTTACAGAGAATATTGTTACTATCAAAAAAATCTAATTTCAGGAAGTTGGAAAAAATCTTCTAATTTATACAAGGGTCTGTTGGTGAGAAATAATTTCAAACATTTTTTAAATGAATTAAAATTAGTTATATTTTTTAAATTGTCAGGCAAGCTATTGAAATATTTAACACCACTAAGATGGGTTTTTTTCGTAAACCGATAAATTGTGTCTGTTGAATGCCAATTCATTACCTTTTCTGGTTGAATACATATGAAAAGAGTTCAATTTTGGCAATCTTTCATGGTTTGATTTAATATAAAGGGCTATTTGATAAATGTATAAGCTAAAAACCGTCATAATTCCTATTTCTTTAAAGTGCTCTTTTGCGGATTCTTTTGATTTTAGTTTTAGCATGATGCGAATTGCTTTTTTCTGAAGTTCCAGAATGCTGTTTAGGTTAAAATTTGATGTGCCACCATAAAGACACAACCCAAAAGAAATGTGTGATTCAATCAGGGAATGATATACTATTTTTAAGGTTTTTAAACTACTAAATTTTGACATCTGTCTTAATGCATGTATGCCTGAGTTGACTTTATTACAAACATTTTCAACATGACTGTCCCAGTTGAATTTATCATCTATATGCAATCCAAGAAATTTTATTGTTTTAACTTCATTTAGTAAAGTTGTATCCATAAAAATATTAAAATCAGGTGTATTTTTGCTCGTTGAAGAAAAATTTATATAATTAGTTTTTATTGGATTCAATAATAAATTAATTTCATTTAAATATTGGTTACATTTGGTAAGCTCAACAAAAGAAGAGACTTCAACATTAGAATTTGAATTTCCGGATATTTTTATATTGATGTCATCAGCAAATAAACAAACACGATTGGGAGATTCTATCAATGAGGGGAAGTCAGTCAAGTAAATTGAGAATAATAGGGGCCCCAAAATTGATCCTTGAGGGACACCATACTTAACAATTTTTGCTGAAGAAGTGTAAGTAATTAATTGGTTATGGCTATTTATGTGATCAATTGTGACATACTGCTGCCTGCCTGTAAGATAAGATTCAAACCAACGCCAAAGCTCTCCCTTTTACACCGTTATATTTAAGTTTTTCAAGAAGTAAATCATGTGAGACGCTATCAAAGGCTTTTGTTAAGTCCAAGAATATTCCAACTACTTTTTCCTTTGAATCAATTGAATTAATTATAGATTCGCAGAATTCAACTCCTGCGTCAATCACAGACCTTCCTTCTCTAAAACCATATTGTTCCTTATCTAATAAATTATTTTCCTCTAAGTATTTTGAAAGTTGTATATGCACAACTCGCTCAAAAATTTTCGAAAATGAGCATAACAATGAGATAGGTCTGTAATTACACATTTCTTCTGGGCTACCATTCTTATAGCAAGGTTTAATTTTAGATTTTTTTAGTTTTTCGGGGAAAATTCCAGAGATGAAAGAGGAGTTTATAACATGTAGTAATGGTAATAATATATATTGACGAGCCTGTTTAATTATTGGCATTGGTATTTCATCCCAGCCAGTAGAAAATTTATTATCAAAAGAAGTTATAGTTTTGTCCAGCTCTAGTATTATAATCCAACTATACAACAACGCCAAAATAATTTAAATATTTAAGAGTACCGGTAGTTCCACAATAAGACCTCTAGCATATTAAATGTATATTGACTATGTACACGATTGTTGGTTTTGCAGGTGCCATGATAGAACGGCTGAGGAGTTGGAAACTATTTATGAGGAGTTGTTGCAACTGAAACCTCTGACTCACCTCAGTAACTCCATGAAGAGGGAGCTAGCTGCTGTCATAGTCTTCGAGGCTCATTCTAAGGCCGGAACTGTCTGTGAGTTGTATTAGGGAGCTTATCTGTGAGGGATGTAAATTTTGTGGCTGAATTTAAATGATAAGTTTAGGGTAAAAATAGTAAATTACAAAGGTTTGATAAATAACTCTAGGTGTTGTTTTCTACTGTTTGTTGGTTATATATCTTTGACTTTGAAGAGTTGTAGGGATCCAGTATCCTTGTTCAGAGCCCCTTCAATAAATGGGACCGGTGGGCCTGGGCCCAGGCATGCAAAGAGGGTTTAGGTTTGTTGGGGGTGCAGGGAAGAGAAAAACTCCCCCACAAGGTGGGTGGAGAGGGACGCAATCATCCGTCCGGCCCATGGCGCATCAAATGCAATCTGCAGGGCTGTCCATGTTAAAGTTGTAGCCAGGTTATAATGAAAATAAAAAAAGCCCTTGACAAGTGTGATGTCGCTAATTACAGATTCCCGTCTTATACAGTGGCTTAACCAGCCAAAATGTAAGGACAACTTACTCGAAAGACTTGTGTATACGAGGCCAGTAGAGCAGGCAGGTTACATGTATTTCAAGTTACCTGAGGTAATTAAGTAACCTTCCCGCCAACTGGCCTCGTTTCAGCGCGGCTTAAAGTATATAGCATCTTTTATGGCACAAATGTATAAAAATACCCCCGCCACAGCAAACCTGCAGACTAAGCGAGTTTCCATTTGACTGATTGGATTTACACTGAAATGTCTACTTAAAAATATAACATTTATACTCTATTTAAATAGAATTAGTTTAACTAGTACTTAGGTTTGCTGCATCAGGGAGAGTAAAACTATTTTTTTTTTTGTAAAACGTTAATAGTTAGTAAGAAATAAAAACATTTTCCAAATTTGATCAAAATATGTTCATAAACAAGCAAACTACAACAATTTACTTATTCTCCATAAGAATAACATGGGAATTTTAAATTTACAATTTTTTGGAATTTTCTCCGTAACCATTAGGCGCATAATAACGCTTCAATATACTAAATTATTTGTTTTTTTAAGCTCTACAAAATGGTTTGGAAAGAAATTGCTAAATTTTATGTTTTTTGGGTCAAAAATGGGAAAAACCTATTTTTACCCCATAAAACCCCCCGTAAACCCCCGTTCCCATGGTCCGATCATGCTGGATCGCGAACTCGTTCGAATAAACGTAGGTTTACACGTTTGTACCAAATTTCATCAAAATCGGATCATTTTTGCTCGAGTTATCGTGCTAACGGACACACATATATATATAAATATATAAATATATAAATATATAAATATATATATATATATGAATTTGAACGGATGATGTTTTTGGCCTCTAGGGACCTCAAAATGAAAAAAAAATCGGTCCCGCGTCCAGGTCTTACCATGAGTACTACGGTAATAGCTTATTCCCTATATGGGAAATTCGCTAAAAGGGAAAAATGGATTTTTTATGGAGTAGCGCACTCTGTGTGCAGCTCATTTAACTAAGCAGTAGATTTACTCATCCTATCCCACCTCATTTTTCCTCGTGATAGGTATGGTCACATGTTTTACCACGGTGTTTGTTTAGTGTTTCAGCAAGGAGATGAGGGCAAGTCATGGTACATCATACTCAGGGGTTCTGTGGATGTGGTGATTCATGGAAAGGGCACTGTCACAACACTGCACGAAGGGGAGGACTTTGGCAAGTTGGCACTCATCAACAATGTTCCAAGGTTAGAACATTACTGTGTTTTAAAAACTTTTGTTGTATATTTTGGAATGTCTCTACCTATAAACACTACTTTCATATCTTTTTTATATAAGTTTAATCCAAAACTTACATTCAATGTGTGATACGTCTGAATCCTACAGTTGGTTGGATTTCACTGCTATTCATCCAACATGTTTGAAAAGTACTAATAGACATGTGACTACAGTATAACCTCTGTAATCCGAACTAATTGGGACCGGGGGTAGTTCGGATTACAGAACGTATTGTTGTTTTTACATAAGAATAGCTAAAATGTGGCTAAAATGGCTCTTAATTTTTACAGGAAGAGTGAAAAAATCCTTTATAAAGTATAATACAATGTTTATTTTAATACAATAGTAAACATAGTAAATAAACAGTATTGTAAATTACAATAGAAACAATTACAGTGCGTACCTATACAATAAATAACTACTGTACTGTGTATAGAGTACAGTTCAATGAGGCGTTTGGATTAGTGGACGTTCAGATTATGGGGGTTCGGATTAAAGAGGTTCTACTGTATTATGGTTTCTTGATTGCAATCGATCGAGGATTCATATCAATAAAAATTGACTTATCATTTATTAATTTTACCCTAATGAGATATCCATGATACATTGTTTAAGACAAACATTTCGGTAAGTTGATTTCATCTACCAAGCAGAAAATAAAAATAAAATTATTGAATGTGTTATTTAGTTATTATTTCAAATATTTCATAAGTTTTTTGTTAATTTTGGCCTATATGAATTCATAGCAAAAAAAAACTGCAGTTGGGAGGAAAAATCACTGATTTCACTCCTATTCCACAACATTGCACACATTAAATGAAAATTATTCTCACTGTTCAGGGCAGCAAGTATAGTTCTCCATGAGGACAACTGTCACTTCCTCCGTGTCGACAAGGAGAGCTTCAACCGGATCATGAGGGACGTGGAAGCCAACACAGTCAGACTTAAGGAGCATGGAAAAGATGTCCTGATACTTGAGCGCATACAAAGTTCTCATTCAACGTTCAAGTAAGTCAAATGCTCTGAATTATAGTTAAAACTTTGTCAGGGCTTAGGCTGTCAAGTTGGTCTCTCAAAATAAGGAATAATGCAAATCTCTAAGCCCTCTTTAACAAAAGCCCAGGGCTGTTTTGAAAAAAATAAATAAGAATTTTTTTGTTGCTAATACGTATTTAGATCACTTAATCTAATCCATTATAAGTAAATGATCCAATAGTCAATGGTAAATGTCTCCTGCAGTTGATCCAAAGTACCGTGGTCACGGAAGAATCGTGAGTGTCTAGTAAAACCATCTTTCGCAGTATCAAGAACATCATCAGGGTCTCCCCCCACGATTGCCAAAAAATCATGAGCATATGCGGGGAGGTTTAAGTTTTTCACCATGCAATCTTTGCTGACACTTTCCTCTTAAAAAAATAGTTAGCTATAAAAATATCAATGTTATAGTGTTATTTTTATAACTATTTGTTGTATTCATAAAAAATTAAATTACTATTATTTGAGCTCATTCCCAATTCCTGAAGCAGATTTTTAAGTGCAAAACATATTTTCTGTACACATTTCAGAACAGGTATTTTGATGTGTTATGTTTTACAACTTCTTTTTCCTTCAGGTATATGGTGATGGCTGGAACTCCTGGTAAAATGTTGGATTACCTACTAGAGACTAGAGTCAGCAGTGCGACAGCGTCACAAGACCCAGCTCTGGACGACTTTCTACTGACTCACATTGTGTTCATGCCTACCAGACAACTGGTAGTGGAACTGGCTAGACAATATCCTTTACTACTTAGATATTTACAAAATAAAATACAGTTTTCACTATAAAAATTTATAAAAACTTATAACGTGAAACATGATATTTTTGCCATTTTAAATCAGTAAAAATTGACAATATTATTGAAAGGTTGATGGTGCTGATCGAGGTTGATTTTAAAACTGTAAATATTAGTTCTTAACATGAAAAACTAATGAATATGCAATTTTTTTTTATGTGCAGTTTATCTGTAAAATCCTTGTTGTGTTGAATAGGTACTAAAATTATATTTTCAAGACTACATTTTGTGAAATGAATAAATATTTAACTTATCTTCTTTTGTCAGATCTAAATTAGGTACTAGTTTTAAGAAGTGTAAAACCACAAAAGGTGATATAACGGTGCATGTTAATGATTACTAAATCAATTCACTAATACAGCAATTGTACTTGTGTACATACTTACTTATTTAAAGCTAAATATGGATAGGGTTGTAGAATGGATTGGATAATCTACTTTTTTATTAAAAACCAAGGATAGCATCAAGCAATAGTCCAATAGGCAATAGCAATAGGCTTTTAGCTGGGTCCAGTTTGGAACCATTCAAAAGCTACTGACTTTTTCAGTATGGAACCAGCTTTCTTCTAATAGGTATTTAATTGAGCCCTATAACAACTTAGCCAGTTACAAAGTCAAGCCCATTATTGCCACAAACATATTTGAATACACAGCCTACCGGTACTATGAATACTTGTGTGCCCTCGTATGTTTCCTGAACTGTCACACCTATCACATGGAGTCCCCTGGACAGGACAGGGAGTTCCCCTTGGTGTGCAAGAAGAGGGTCGTACAGTTTGTCTACAGATGGGTCCTCACTATCAGACACACTGTGTTTGAAGACCCTGCCTCTCTCAGCTTTATTGAGGTAACAAACTGATCTGTTGATTACTAATACAATATAACTGTCAGTGTTGAAGGTTACTGTATAGATTGATGCTCTACTTTTATGAAACGACAGGTTACGTCGTGTGGTGTGTAGAAGCAAATAAGAGCATCTAAGAAAATTAAATCGTGGGCTTGTCTGTTTGTTAGAGCACAGGGCTTTACAAATCAATCATAATGGTGATGCCAGACTAGGAAGTCCATTGCTCACCTTAAGCTGAAGGCAAAGCTGTGGTAGTAGGAAAAAATAGGTAATATGTGAGATGAGAACAGTTTCTGTACTTGGAGATCTTCTTTGACAAAAACCTGATAATATACTTTTTTCTTGTTTTGGTGTTCGCGGCAATATAGGCGGTCTTACCACTTGGCCACAGGCTAGGGCCGCAAATTGTTTTATAAATGAATGATTTGTTACTCTCGCGAGTACAATAACAATGTCACCGTGATAGCGGGAGATGTTAACGTTATTTCCGGTTTATGGTAACAATGTCCCCGTGATGGCGAAAGACGTTGACGAGTTTGCCGCTATTGGGGGTGACATTAATCATGTCCCAGCGATAACAGGAGAAGTTTACGAATCTCGATTCAGCTGCAATTGCGGGTGGCAACAGCGATGGCCCCGTTATAGCGGGAGTTGTTCACAATTCTGCCGCGGTCGCAAGCAATTCTTTTCCCCCTGTGACTTCTGGCTGGATCCGCCACTGATCAATGCTAGCAGTACACTATTGCCGAATGTTTGGGCGAATGTTTCCCCAAATTTTTGACTCGAGTTGCAACGACAAATGCTGCCGAACATGAACCACGAGCTCACCCAGTACACGCAAATTTGCTTGTTGGTTGTTTGACATATTTTAACTCCTGGCACTCGACTTTGCTCGTCTCCTTTGACTCCTCCCTAAAACCGACCAAATATTGAGCACAGGCAATCATAAATCATGGCGAGGCAAACTACCCCGACCTTACAAGAGCAGACCGGGTAGCTCACCTTTGCTCGCCTATATTTGGCGATAGTGTAGGCCTACTGCTAGTAGACAAGACAATCAAAGACTCATCTCAATTAAATGTGTAAGAGTGACAAAAGTTCCATTTTCTGACATAATCAAGACGTTTGCTAATAAAAATCAAGTATAATTAATTTTTCAAACTTATTGAGGAACTTTATGTATTAAGGACTGTATAATAGATAAAGCATACTCCCTAAGGAAGTATGCTTAATCTATGACTCTATGTTCACGGTAATTTATTAACCAAATATTAAAGAATTTGTTTTATTTGTTCCTATACAAAATGTACATAGAGGTTTAAGAATTACATAATAATATACCAATTTTTAAAATTATTTAATTTTAATAACGTAATATAAAATGTTCACTAACCTTTGGGCCATTTTCTTAAAAAATAGTTTGTTTGCCTCGTTTTAAGACTGGCAGAAAAATGTCATTGGCACTTAGAAAAAAATCCACAGATGCATGGTGAAAGGGCGGCAAATTTAGGACTTGCCCCCCCCCCCCCCCCCCCCTCCTTAGAAAACTGTGTAGCTGTGGTCCTTTTGACAGCCACAAACCAAACCAGCACACAGTACAAACCAAGTGTGAGACAATTTAACTTACAGCTATAAATAAAACTCAAAATACTTTATACTTTTCAATGAAAGGGCGATCATACAAAGTAGGTATTTTAAGCCAAGTATGAATGGAGATGAGTGTAGGATGAGTGGCGCGATCTTGTAGTCTTGTTAGGGACTAAAGGCCAACATATTCCTTAGACACAGCTCTTAATTAATAGCCCATACAGCTAATGGCAATTATTTATAAGTGAACATAATGTTTATATTTTCAGGATCTGGCAGGAGAAGTTGATTCCGACTGTTTGGAGTGGGCAGAGCTTCAAGAAGAAGCGAGTTTGATTCACCATGTAATGTCACAGCTACACAGGTAACTATTCAATATTAGCCTACAATAGCATTCCTCTTATCTGGTTTCCTTTTCAACCTGTCATACCTACTATTAATTGGTTGTTATTGTCAAAACGGTTAGCATCCTTTTATTTGTCTACACATTTAATAATATAGCATTCAAATCTTCTTGTGATCGGCCCAGATATAAGCTGAGGATTTGGGAATTTTTCTCTAAACTAAACTAAAGACTCCAATGAATATGCTTTTCCTTTTGTGTTCAGTATTGAATCATTATAGAATACATTAGTTTATTCAGCCAAATACATTTCATTTATCATAAAAGACTCTGGTGCTTTGCTCTGCTACTCTTTCAAATAATGCAACAATTCTCCTTGAAACCACTGAGCTATCAAGCTTACAATATGTATTTGCCTTAATAGTAATTGTACAACAAATGAGGACCACCAAATTAAGGACCATTTGGATCCCTCCTTTAAATAAATGTAGAACAATTTAATATGTGGAGGTTCTTACAATTATTGAATAGCTATCCATATTTTGGAAACTGGAATTTTAAACAGGGGTAACAGGGTCTCTGAGCTAGAAAACACACATATCCAGCAAGTGATGAAACACTCTTTTCTCCAAGTCTAAGTTAAACTTTTTAATCATGGATCCTTGGAATGTAGGGTGTGGATTGATTTAAGAATGAGTATAATTTGCCAAGGTCTCATACTATTGGAAGTGATTCATTTGGATTTGTTACCACCAGGTATCAGGAGGAGAGGGTAGCCTCTGCGGGTCAGAAATGGAAGCTTCCTCCGTGTGGTCAACCCATCAGTTTGTTCTCTGGTCCGACTGATGGCAAGACAAGAACACTGATTAGACCAACTGATGATGGTGTGTAGAGTATAGCTAAGTTGGATATTTGTAAATTTTCTAAAGCTCATTATTCTCATCCTGTACCTAATTATTTTATGATATCTGTATGGATTATGAAAACCACTATTTTCATTAGTTTCAAATGTTTGTGTATCAAGTTTTTTTTTATTCTCGTGCAAGATTGGATTCTTTACCACTAACAATACATACTATATGTGAATTCACCATCTGCGCCTTGTAATACCAATTTAGATTCATTTTTCATCAAAACAAAACTTTAGGATGATGAGTTTACTGACAGGGCCGTATTTCCCTAACGGCGGACACGGCGGTTGCCGGGGGCCTCGGCCTAGAAGGGGGCCTCACTTGGGGCCTCAAATATTATTTTCTTGATGAATTTATTTCACTAATCATCTTTTTTGCAGCGATAGCGGGAGCTGTTGATGAAATTTGAGAGACCGCAAAAGATCCTCGCTATTTCCCCGTTAGCGTAGGAGTTGTCTCTATTCGCCCGTCATCGCGGAAGAAGTCCAAGATTGTATCCCGACCGCGGGAGACGATGATGGCGTTTACACGGCCACGGGAAATGAACTTGATTTTGCCGCGATCGTGAAATACGATGACGTTTGTACGGCCACGGGAAATGAACTTGATTTTGCCGCTATCACGCAAGACGACGATCACGTTTTCGAAACCGCGGGAGATGTTCATGATTTTGCCGCTACCGCGAAAGACGATGATCACGTTTTTGTGACCGCGGGAGACAATGGTGATGTCCACATGGCCACGGGAAATGAACTTGATTTTGCTGCTATCACGCAAGACGACGATCACGTTTTTGGAACCGCGGGAGACGTTAATGACGTTTACACGGCTGCGGGAGATGTTCATGATTTTGCCGCTATCACGCAAGACGACGATCCCGTTTACGAAACCGCGGGAGACGATGATTGTGTCTACAAGGCTGCGGGAGATGTTCATGATTTTGCCGCTATCGCACAAGACGACGATCACGTTTTCGTGACCACGGGAGACGATGATGATGTCTTCACGACCACGAGAGATGTTCATGATTTTGCCACTATTGCGCAAGACGACGATCACGCTTTCGTGACCGTGGGAGACGATGATGATGTCTACACAGCCGCGCAAGATGTTCACCATTTCTCTGAGACCACATGAGTCGTTCATGAATCCGCCGCGATCAGAGGAGACAGAGACAACGTCTCAGCGCTCACGCAAGATTTTCACCATTTCCCCGCGGCCACATGTCGAGACGTTCATGATTCCGACGTGATCGGAAGAGACTGTCACGTCAGCGAAGATGACATGTCAGCGTTAATGCAAGAAATAAATGGACCCTTTTATTAGCTAGTCTCCTAGGACTCTTTCAATCAGATTGTTGGAAACAAAAGGTCAATTGATCGACTTGAAGCAATACCATGTGTATTTCTAAACCCTTAAGCTCCAACCTTTGAAGAATCAGAATATAGAGTGGGGCCTCTCTGGTGAGAGCCGCCGGGGGCCTCATAGATTCTAAATACGGCCCTGTTTACTGAAACAGTAGGGAGTGAATCACATCTCTATATGTATCATTCACATTGTGGGTTGTTGCATAACATTGCATCCTTGCCTTCAGAGCCTGTTAAAATTTGAGGTACTTGATAAACTGTGGCCTTCAGCCTGAGTTGCACTCATGATTTTTAGACCCCGCTGAATGGTTATCACTGTTACAAGGGTGATCAGTTTCATTATTATGATTTTATTATCATTCAAGATCTTATGATAATTTAATGAACATTTACCCCCCTTAACTCATTTTTCCATCATTTCATTCTACATCCACAAAAGTAAAATTTAAAAGTTACATCCCTTAGTGTTGAAACTCTGCAATTCGCACTGTAGCTTATGTGACAAAAGCATAAAACACCTAAACCATTGTTCTCCATTGTACCATTGTACTCATTGTTCACCTTTTAATTCCTAATGATTTTGTTTGGCAGTGATATTCCGTGTGTACTGCGCCGACCACACCTTCTGCACTCTCCGTTTCCCCATCAACACTTCAGCGGATGTTATCAAGACTTCAGCAGCAGATAAGCTGGGACTGCGACACCCCCGGGAGGATCTTGTGCTGGTGGAACTCAAGAGTTCTGGAGAAAAGGTCACATTCAGAGACCAGGAGATATCCATCCCAACAGCGCTCAGTCTCAACGGACGGCTATTTGTTAGCCCTAAGGACCATCTGGATGCACTGGTAAGAAGAGTTTGTTTAAAAAAAACTAAAACATTCTTGCTACAGAACCAACACTGAGAAATTGAAATACAGTATATAAAGGTTAATACATGTCCATCTTTAGTCTTATAAAGTAGTCAGTGGATTACAACTTTCAGGTCCCCTTATCAAATCTGACATCAAATTCAAGACGGTGTTTCACTTCCGATAAACTTCATCCCCACCCCATACACATGTCAACACATTAAATGAACATTTGTTTGAAACAGATCAACGCAGGTTGTTGTTTGGCAGGGGATGAATAATCCCAAAATTGTCTACAATATTCTCATTTATTTTGTAAGGCTGTAATATCATATTATACCCATAATGGGTCAGATATATAATATTTGATTCAAAGACAACAAAGTTTAATAAGGCACATTTGGCCTCAACTTATTATGTAGCTTTAAGTTACCTGTATTATTAAAAAGGAAAAAGGACTATAATTATCTAAGCTCTAGTCGGATTCTAGTATTTTTAAAGACAAATATTTTTTTCCGTTTTGTATTATTTACATACAATCCTAGTTGTTTCTTACTTACTAAATACTTCAAGCTTACTGTGTTCTCATTGTGGTCAACATTTTTACTCACTAATATTCAGCCCACCATAACATAAAAATGAATATTGTAACTTTTCCCTTATAGAACAATTTAAAATAAGGCCTAAAACACAAAAATAAACCGCTTCTGAGTAGAGAAGGAGGTTCTTCAAACAAATTCATACAACCTAGACCTAAATTATATATAGGGTTGAGAATCTGATGGTTAACTTGTTTTAAATAATTTATCTTCTATGGTCAATGGTCAATTGTTAGATATCCATATTATTGGAATCTTACTGCAATAGTTATTTGAGTAACTAGTGTGCTGCACATGAGAGAAATGTTTACACATGAGCCGTAGGCGAGTGGGAAGTTTATCGAGTGCAGCAAAGGTACTTTGCACTCGCCTTACACGTATATTTTTCCTACAGTTACCATAAAGCATATAAATAATTAGTCTTTCAAACACACTATACAACACATTTTAGGTTTGGTTAAATACATCGTTGAACGAAATTGGAAACGCTGCACCAGCTGATTGTAGTCGTAGTATCTTGTGTTGTCAGCTTATTTTCAAGCACACACATATTACGTGCCTATTAAAAGGACTCTGTTTGGAATACTGGAGTGCGGCAAAAAATATGAGTATGGAAAAAAATAAAAGTGTGGCAAAAGTAACTAAATAGAGCAATTAGCTACTTGGCATGCTATAATCAGTGCAAGGAAGCCCTCTTTGTGATGTAAACTTTTTTACTTTGATAAACTTTTAACTACCTACCGGTACTGTAACTCAAACATAAATAATTTCAGACCCTAATACCAGAGCAAGAGAACCCTACAGAAGGCATGGATTTTGACATGGAGATGTTCAGCACTAAGGAACTGGCCTATCACATGGCTCTCTTTGACTGGGACTTATTCTGGAGTGTACATGAGGTTTGTTTGTATTATATCTATCATTTTGCACATCCTTTCTCTTCTTATCCCTTAAATTGTATTCAGAATTTGTTGGTAGAATTTTCCAACGTTGCCTTAGTGCATAGTTGCAGCGCTCTAATTAAGAAACTCCCTGTCTTAAAGTTTCCTGTAATCCCTTTTTGTCTGTGGTATGATTAAGCTAGTGATAAGTAGCCTAAATAGTAAACATATCCATCATTAGAAGTATTAATTGTATCATTCCGATGTAGTATGAGCTGCTCTACCAGACGTTTGGTCGGTTGAGATTCAGCCAAATCACAGCCAACCTGGACGTGTTCCTGAGACGCTTCAATGAGATTCAATACTGGGTGGTGACAGAGCTTCTTCTAACCCAGAGCCTCAGCAAACGAGTCAGCATCCTGAGGAAAATGATTAAACTGGCTTGCTAGTGAGTGTCATACATCCATCTAGCTTTTTTTTTTTATGGTGGAGCATTTACAATCCCACCATAAAATCATGGTGTTTAGTTAAGCCAAACTAATTGAGATTGAACTCTGGTTAAGTTGTGCAGTAAGTGGTTTTGAGAATTATGCCGAATATTGACTGGTTGATGGATGCAAAGAGTCTGGTGTGTCAAAGAATTAGAAGTAAGACATACACTGTAATTTGAACTGCACTGTTTATTGTATTCAACCAATTTATTATAGTTTCCTTTGATATAACAAGCGGTTCCAAGGGTCTATAAAGGCTATAACCCATTCGATAATAGAGGCTAAGCCATTCCATTCATTGGACCCTTTAAAATCAATTTAAAAGTACATTTTGTCATAGAAACGTAAGGGAGGTTTTTAAAAACCGTTCTAGACGTTAAAAATGGTTTTATAGTCACCATCCTTTTAAAATACTAACCGCCTTTTAAAATACTAAATTTGCCAGGGTAGGACCCCCGCACCCCCTGTTAGTGTGTAGCACCCCTCGTAGTTCCCCCACTTGACAAGGTCCTAGAACCACCACTGGTACGTGAGTAGTTTTTTCTCCTGTCTGATCCAGTTTGGATTTGGCTTATTTGCAGATTTGCTGGGTTTGAGCGATATTTATCTATTTTGAGAAGCCAGGTTGAGAAATCTAGATTGTACCGTGGATTAAGAGTTTGAATCCCGTAACGGTAATAAGGATATATAAGCTCATAAAGGTCTGCAGTGCTTAAGATGGTGCAGTTCTGGTGTGGTACTTGACTGTTGCAGAGCTTTTCGTGAGAGGTGTAAAATGGTGGTTATTTATAGCCCAAGCAAAAGTTGACAATATATGAGTCAGTATTATGTAATTTGTGTCTCAAATCAAAAATTGTAGCTATCAACCAGTTGCCAATTTATGCCTATTCTTACAGTGTGGTTGTCCATCAAAAACATTAAAATAATTTTTCCTACAGTCACCCGACAAAGTTGGCTTCCTTGTACTGTTTATAGTACAGAAAGCTGCTAATTGCTGCATATTTATACTTTGCCGTACGGTTTATACTTTGCCGTACATCAGGATTCCAACGAAACAACACAAAACAGCGTGGTTCTATTATGCACGTAATCCGTGTACGCTTGGAAATAGGTTGGCAACACTTATAAAGATAATAATACTATGAGCAGCTGATTGACTATTATAACTACGATTTAACCTGTCATTTCGTGTTTATAGTTTCGGTATTTCTGAACTTTCTGGACTTTTCTTTTAAACGTTTTTAAAACATTCCTAAGATCTTAATAAACAAGAAAATACCTTTAAAGCATTTATTTTAGGTGCGGAAACCACTTCAAATTACAAAAACATACGGAACTATATTCTCAAAACGCGGAGCACATTATTCTTGCCGAGGAAAAATAGCGGAGTACTACTTTCTCTAGGGCACCATTTGTGTTGCCAGCTGAACCTAAAAACGTGTTGTATGGTGTTTGAAAGACTAATTATTTATATACTTTATAGTGACTGTAGGAAAAATATAATGTGTAACACGAGTGAAAAAGGCCTTTGCTGCACTCGAGATCATTCCGCACTCGCCTGCGGCTCGTGCGTAAACATTGCTCTCGTGTGCAGCAAAGTGCCACTTTCACCACTAGTTACACAAATAACTATTGCTGTTCTTGAAATTATGGAAAACTATGCTTAAATAAACTACTGAATAATAAAATTACTTAATCCATGGAGTTCAATATGTTAACACGGATGTTTCAGTTGCAAGGACTACCAAAACCTAAATGCTCTGTTTGCCGTCGTGATGGGACTCAGCAATGTGGCTGTGTCCCGTCTCTCTCTCACTTGGGAAAAGCTGTCATCCAAGTCTCGTAAAACATTCACAGAACTGGAGTCCCTCATTGATCCGTCACGCAACCATCGGAATTACCGAACTTATGTTGGCAAACTGCAGAGCCCTGTGATACCATTCATGCCGTTGCTAATCAAAGGTGTTCCTCAATGTTATTTTACTGAAAAACTGTAAATTCATATCAGCTTTTAGTGTAAAGTTTAGAAAATGTATTTAAGATAAAATATGATGTTTTTGAGTCTTAATCAGACACTTCTAAAGTCACAAAAGTGCTAGATTACCAAGAACATATAACTTCTGAAAATGATACTAAATTCAAACTATAAGTCAATTATTTAACTGTAACATTTACTGCTTAACTGTTGGGCAATCACATTAATGGATTTAGGCATTATTTAACCAAAAAGATATGTTAAAAGAAAACGATTTTTCTTGTTTATCTTGTACATTTGTATCTTGCAGGCTAGAATACACTTATAAGTACCTAGATTCTTATTTAAGGTAGCCTACCTGTTTGTCATAAAATTAAATTTAAAAAAAGTGAAGTACCGATACTCAAGTATAATTTACAATTGCCCAAACAAAGCAAAGTACCAGTAATGTGTTTATTCTATTCAATAATTACTATAGAAGTATAACTAAAAGTGCTTAGCAATCAAACTGGACACTGGGACCTGAAAGATATCTGGATCCTATTACAACACCAATCAATCAAAATTCTAGAACTGTACAAATAAGAAATAACAGCTTAAGGGCGTTTTCACATTAGACAGCACATCAACAGCACGTCCACCAACACTGCAACAGCAACAGCACGACAACAACAGGGGTCTTTACCCTGGGTCTTTACACACTTGACAGCAACGACACGTTAAGAGCACAACATTATTTCCTCTCTTTACTGCTTAGCTCATCATAGCCATCTTCCGAAAATTGAAATATTTCTTTCCATACCTTCTCTCTAATAATTTTTTTTTGTCCTCATTAGTTTTGTCCTAAAGACAGGGCTTGGACTTTACAAGCTCAACGAGCAAGGTGACGTCGCACTTAAACGTAGCTCTTTCTTTTTCCATCTTGCAAACGAAGCACACACCTTGTACTCAGGCCAGGGCTGTGATGTATTGTACTGACACTGACAGACTACTGACAGACGGTAAATGCACGGCAACAGCAACGTCGGGGGGCCAGCAGCTCGCCAGCATGTTCTGTCACGCCGCCAGCACATCACCGTCACAGCACCAGTGTGTACGCTCTCATATGATAACATTACCGACGTCAACGGGCCAGCGCTGTGCTGGCGACGTGCTGTTGACGTGCTGTGTAGTGTGAAAACGCCCAAAGACTACCTCATCAGATTACTATTGATATTTTATCATCTATTTTCCTCCAAAACTAAATAAAACTGTAGCAATAAAAGTAGGAAGAAACAAATTTTTCCCCCTTAAAATTAAATGACAAATGGTAGATATGCCATGCAGTCACAGACACTGACAGTTTCGATGTTGTTGCAGATATGACCTTTGTCCACGAAGGTAACAAGACGAGTGTGGATGGCCTGGTCAACTTTGAGAAGATGCACATGTTGGCTCAGACTATGAGAACATTACGCTACTGCAGATCTAGACATCTGGGTAAGTGTTAGTTGGTGAACTTTCAATTTTTTATCAAGAGGCAATAGTTCATAGCTACTAATGATTGTTATCTTGCAAAGTAGTTTTTGACACTGTATGCCTATAATTGTAAGATACAGTCCCTGCTTCAACTCTAATATGCATGAATATTATCAAGGGCGTAGCCAGGATTTTATTTTGGGTTGTGCTGACATTCAGGGGTCAGCAGTGGAGGTTTGGGGAGGTTAGCCCCAAACCCACAGAGTCTTCCCCCTTGAAAATTTTGTAAATTTTAGCTTCAAACTTCAATTAATTGTAAATTTTAGAGCAAAATTATGGGTTTTAAGGCGATTTGAGCTATTATTTTGATTCATTACGGACCATAGGAAAATGTACGAGCTTAATTTTATGAGAATTTCAGGGGGTGCTGGAGAACTTCAGCTCCCCCCTGACTACTCCTGACGTGCCTTGATCTACTTTAGCCAGACTCCGCTCCATTCCCATCACAGAGAAGTAAGATACAGAAGATAAATTCGATGGTACCCTTAAGTGGGGTCTAGCACCAGAAGTCGCTGGTGTCAAGAGCAAATTCTATTTATCCTCCCCTCCTGCTCTCCTTTCCCCATCGCCCACACGTACTACAGCGCTCACGCTGTAGGAAGACCCTGTACGCTGCAACTGCTGTACAACAACACTATGTCGACATCGCCATTCAGGCTCTTCCTGGCTCGTTACGAGTACATTTCCGCCCCAGCACCAGAGCTAAAAGTACACGGTTGTACCATAAGCTTATCCTTTGTAATCTTACTTCTCTGTGTTCTCATCAATAAAAGGTTCAAATATCTTAACTCTGTTAAAAAGTAAGAGTATTTTCTTGGTAAGAACAAGTTTGTCTCTTTATGAATAAGCTGTTCTACGTTCTGTATTTTTTTAAATTATCAGTTAACAAAATTTCTAAAGATTGTATATCACTTGATCCTTATCCGTTTTTTTTTTTCTCTTTCATGATTGCTTTTCAAGACAAATGCTACAAAAGAGTGGGATTGGCTACAATTCAATAATAAAATATCCCAAAAAACATGGCTTTCATTTCCATTAAATTAAAATCCATTCAAGTCATTAGGAAACATTCCAGAAAAAGAAAAGTATAAATCAGGATACTTTTGACATGAAGATTTAGTGATAAACATTTGTCATTCTCATTGAGTCGTTTAAATAAATGCAATGTGAAAGAAACAATTTTATTTCATGATAAAATCATACAATATGCTTTTGTTCTATAATTAAATTGGTAGATTCTCATAGTAGTATAAGGTACTCATTCATAATAATTTGAACAACAACTGTCTAAGCAAGATGATTTTTTTAAATTTTGCTGTTTCCAGTGCTGGATCCTCCAACTCCAAAGAATGAATCAGAAGTGAGATCTTACATCAGCTGTTTGCGAACTATCGACAACCAAAGGGTTTTGACATCCCTCTCTCAGAAATTGGAGCCAAGAAGATCATAGAAGCAGCCCAACTTACAACCAATATCAAACAAGAAATCAATCAACATAATTCATTTTTTATCTGGGAATTGAACAGGAAATGTTGCAACACAACTGAATTTAACTGTGAAATATACTTGAATCATGTTTGGGCAAATGTATAATTTCTTAGGACTAAGCTGATAAGACAATGAAGAGTTAAGTTCAAATAACAAAGTTAATTTTTTTAAATTCATTGTTGTAGCCCCGGAACTGTAATATATAAAATATCTGGTTTTACAATACCACTGATAAAGGTATTGTAAAACCAGATATTTAATTTTTTAATCCTATCGGAAAATGAGAATTGATAAATCTTAAATCTTTGGGCCCTTAACCTCTTTAATTGTTTGAGACGATCTCTTTACAATCTATTATCAAAATCTATATGGTAACTGATACGGTAATACTAAAAGGATCTATAGAACAAAACATCGAAAATATATGTAACCCCTATCAGTAAACAAGCTATATATATTTGTCTTTTCAGCAATTTATAGCAATAGCATGTATATTATTTAAGGACTTCATTATGGAGTAAAGCGTTAATGATTTTTCATAATTTTTTCCAATTGGCTTTCATCCATTTCTTAATGAATTCAACCTGCGTTTTCATTGATTGTCGTTGAATTTTGCATGTTTTCTGTGAATTTCCTTAAACTATTTAGTTGTACTTATAACTTATATGGAATGAAAAATATCTTTATTTAAGAGGCAAAGTTAGGACTGGAAAGTCCTCTCTACCACTCAACCTCTAAATTATATTTATGTGAATTTACTCATAATTATGACTTACTCATCTTCTCAAGGCAATACTAAATATATTTTGGACATATGCAACTGCTCTGTCATTATTATTTCTATAGGCATTAATCATAAGATACTTTTTTACTGGGCGCACACTCTTTGTTCAAAAGATGAATATTCACAGAGAAGAAAGGAACAGAGGGAACTCGCTTATGGGAAAACCGTGTGTTTACAGCTGTAGTATGTTATGCCAAAAATATACTTGGCACGACCAAGGATGAGCCCAGTGAGCACTGTGCGGAAAGTCTTATTGCACAGAGGGCTCTGGGTCTTCCGACACCTTAAGTGTTGTAGTATACACGAGGGCAAAGGGGACAGTGTTGGACTTTGCCCTCTGCTAAGCGTCACTTAAGCGGACGCTCTACCTCAGATCAGGCTTCAGTAGCTATGTTGCGCCATTGAACAGCGCCCCCGAGTTGGGCTTGCAGACGTTCACAGCAACTGTCTTTGTAAACTACCCATACATGCTAGTAAAAAACACTGAGTGGGGTTTTACAGAACAAAGAATAATCGATGCGACCCTGGTTTTAGAATTTTAAAGTAACAATTCTATAATGAGTTAAAGCATTTTAAAATTTCCGATTTTTTCTACATTCAAAGAAGATTTTCAGGCTTTATGGTACGATATTAAACATATTGAAACCACTACAATCTAGATAATTTAATTCTCTTCAAAATGCCACCCTAACTTTGATTTTACGTTAAGTGTAGACTTCCAAAACACTGTTGCCCCAGACCCTTGCGTTTACAAAACGGCAGGGGTAGAGCGCACCCTTAAGTCTGAGTGTAGCCTCTGTACCTTCCTCATCTGTAGAATATCGTGATAATTTTTCCACAAGTGAAGTCACACAGGAAATAAAGAAATGCTTAATGACAAAATATGTGATATTTTTATCAAAAAAGTTTTAAATTTCTTATGCTAAGGTAAATTTATGTTAAGGATTACAAAGACATTTTTAGATTCACTTTTATATGCTTGGTTATGTTTGAGATAGGTTGGTTTTAGAATGCAGATATTTATTTCATGTAGAATAAGAAATTGTAATTTTTCATCAATATGTTTTAACAATTTAATGCTCACAACGAGCACATTGTAAACGAACACCATACCAGCAGTTAGGGAGTTAATGTAAACAAGTTTATATTCTAGATCAATTTTAATTTTTAACTTGCAGTAAATTTTACAGGGTTATGGAATTTGAAATTTCAATAAACACTCGTCTAGACCCATAAACAGTTCAGCAAAATATTTAAGTCACCTCGGATACCTGTTAAATCTCCAAGCTAACAGTCTATCTGTGGATTTGTGAATATTTGGGTCACTGTTAATAATTTTGCGTTGCACTGGAGAATCCAACATACAGATTGCACTCCATACTGAGATTTACTTGTTGTTTAAAGTAAGCCAGAAATTTAAATATGAGTGCGGTACACTAAAACCGAATTGTATTTAAATTATTTTTACAAATTTTACTCCTTTGGGAGACAATTTTACAAACTAACAATGGAACAGGAGAGATTGTAGAATCAAACACACTAAAATCAAAGGAGTGATGAATAATTTCATTTTCGTATTAATATTGTCTAACTACTTACGGAATAAATACTGTTTAATTTAGCATTTAAAATTCAGAAAGTTTGTCTACATTGTTTCTTAGGTCTACTCACATATCCTGTGTATATTTGTGTAGATTTAGACCTTTGTGCCAAATGAGTAGACCTATGAACCACTTTATAGAAATGTTTATAGATTTTAATATTTATACACAGCAGATGTAATGGAATTGATTTTGATCTTGATGATTTAACCTATTGTATAATATTGTCACATATATTTTAGTTTACCTTACACAAAGATTATTATTGTATACATTATGTATATTAATTAATAAGAATATATTTATATAGTTTTCTACAAATTATTTACGTTATTTTATGGTTAATTTAGTGTAAATTTCAACCAATTATTTTCAGTTACCTACATGATTTTAATTTATTATCTACCAACAAGGTAACAGTAATCAAATAAAGAAGAAAGTTACATATTGGACCAAAAGGTAAATTTTGAATACTCGTATTTATTATTTTTACATGTTTTATATAAGGTTGTCTAGTGACGGAACACCAAAGTTGTAATTTTAATGTCCCTTTTCGGGCACTTTTGTGAATGCAATAACATTTTGTATTTTTGTCATTGTCACGTTTGTGTCAATGTTTTGTAGTGTGTGGGGTCTTTTCTTATTATATTCTAAACTAAAGATGTTCTAGTCAGAAGTAGATAGGATTTCTGTGTTATATCAATATTGTTCTATTTTCAACACAAATTTTATTTTTATCACAATATTTTAATGTACGGTGACCACTTTTATTATGTTTTTATAAAAAAAAAATTAAAAAAACTTTTGGTTCTACATTAGTATGATTACCTCTGAGGTTTTTAGTCTTGTTACACAATAAAATACTGTAATGCATTTAAACTTTTTTTACAGATATTTAAACTAAAGTACTTGAATTGATTATCAAAGTTTATTTAATTTCTTTAAATTTGCACCAGTCCTGTAACGGTAAAAACACTACACCCAGTTAACCCTTCAAGGCTCATGATCTTGCTTCACTTATGCTCTTAACACTTGTACACTTTCTACTTCATTTTTTATTTATATTCCAACATTTCCAGAAAATAAAAGTGGTCTACCCATTTTCACCTTTTCTCTAAATGCCTCCTTTTATTAAGAGCCTAGCCTGTTAACTATATTGTAATATATATTTTTCTATCACCACATTACACTGAATATATATTTAATATCCTTGTGCCAAGCCATTGATAATCTAATTGCTTCAATTGAAGCATTCACTATTGCACGCTTTGGTGTTACTTGTAGGTTAGGAACATTTATTATATTTGTGATGTTGCTAGCAATGTTTTAACCAGGTAATAAATATACCTACTAAATAAGTTTTAATTTCTATATGTAAAAGATCAACGATTGTGTTAACGTTAACTATATAAAAAATTATTCCCATGAAAACTCCTAGTATTTTTTACAAGAGAACTTAATGTATATTTTGTTACAGTTACAGTACTTTATGATAGTAATATTATTCACTGTTTTATTTTGTAAATAAAAAAATGAAATAAATAAATAATTTAATTAGTAGTTTATAATATATGTCAAAAGGACGGAAAAATATAAAATGTGTGCTGTTGATTATCATAAAATGTTTAGAATGAATGCCAATATCATTATTTTTAGTTGTGATTTTTTTTCTTGGGTCCTACAATCCACACAATAGTGTTTTTAGGGGTTTATTTTACAGATATTTTGTTTACTTGATAATTATTGTTGAATCTTGAGAGTAATTATTGTAACTACCAAGTATTCATTATTTGTGTATTTCTCTAGATTAGCAATAATGTAATAAAGTGTAATTCTGTAACCATACTTTATTTTGTTGGAAATTACTCAAATAAAAAATTTAATATTTACAAAAGAAACATAATTGATTTTAAGGGTGCAATAACAATAAGTTTAACAACAATTCAGTAAATAAAGCAATATTGCGTTTAGCAACAATTTTTAGTCATCTTATTACCTTTGCTTACTAATATTTCATATCCTTCTGAAGGGTGTATCATTCAAACTGGTCTCTACACACAGTATAGTTATGGTTAGTTTTGGGTCACTTTAAATGGTAAATGTAAAAAAAAAAAAAATAAATATATATAATTAAAAGTTGTTTACTTCTTTATTTTTTATTTTTAAGATTATATATTTATCAATATTTGCAATATTTACGGCACAAAATAAGGATTCTCGGAAAGCTTGTATTTATGAAAAATAGACAGCTACATATAACAAGGTTTTTTATTGGTTTGAGAAATAGAATAATCTGGAAGGGTAATAATAAAATATTATGTAACTAATAATAAGAAATACTATGACTAAACTGTGCATATTTTGTAGAGACTAAGTGGTATAAAAAATAGCTGAAGAATGTAAAAAAGGAAGTGGTAAATCTTCGTCAAAATAACTTTTAATTATTATTTAGAAAATTTAGCAATAGCAATTAAAAATATCCTTGCTTGAATCACCATAGATTTAAATAATTAAGGTCATAAGTAATTTGTTTGAATGAATAGCAATTACAATGTCTTAAGTTTTTAGAACAGAATTGCACTGTTATGTTTTTTTAAGGTGTTTTAGCCTACATAAATCTGATCTAGAACAATGGTAAGCCAATAATGATTGTTATTGTAATATTCTCAGTAATAATTACATTCAAACAATATGTATATGTTTAAATTTTTTTTTATTTTTTTTTAGTTTTTACTTAAAAAAAATTGTTGTTTGTTGTTGTTAAACAATTGTTTGGCAATATAAAACACAAATGCATAGTACGATAGTTTCTAATCTGGGCGCTAATAAGTTTAATGCATTTTGGAACTACAACTGAACTATAAGCATAGCTTGTATTAAGTGCACTATGAGATATTAATAATATTTAAAAGTTCGAGTTTATTGAAAATAATAAAATATATACATGTTTGAGATTGAGTCAACACCAATCTATTTGTTCAAATTTTGTTGTGGTTTTTTATAGAAAAAGATTCTTCAATTAAAAAAAAGATTCTTTAGATTAATTTTGTTGTTTATTAGTTATTATATTTTTTTTCAATTTTTAATACAAATTTATATTTCATAAAAGAAAAAAGGAATAAGTGGTGCCTATGTAAGTGTTAAGTATAATGCTATTTATTAGTTTTGAGTTCTCAGTTTAAAGTCTATGAGACTAACCAATCTGTAGTGGGGGTTTTATTCAATTTTTTCCATACATTTATTAAGAGTTATGAGAAATTTCTTGACTAAGACTTGTGATACAATGTGTATTGATTTTTTCACCACCAGCTATTTACACTAAAAATATATATAGTTTAACTAATTCAATTTATTCTTCAACTTCTTTCGGGCTATCCGTTATGCGTTGCAACAAAGGTTTTGGTTGTGTTTATAAATTTTAAATTGCTTTAGGTGAACAAATTCAATGCTTCTATAGTGACAGAACTGGTTGATAATCTAGACAAAATTGTACCACAAGCTCGATTTGTGCAATTAAAAATGTTAACAAAATTTAATTTCACCAATACAAAAATATATCACAGGCCTTGAAAAGGTCATCAGCCATTCATTAGGATAATACAAATTACATATTTACAATTATTGTTATATAGGATTGAATAGGTACTGGACATTGGACAAGCAGTTAATTTAAGGAAAATTTAATTGTGTTTTGAAAGAGTTAAGATTGTTATAAAATCTATGTTGTTAACAGTACTGCATTTAAACAATTAATTGTCTACATACCTTGCGTTGATTGAGTTATTTTATTCTATTGTCTGTCACTCTGCTATTTTCACTGAAGAGTATGATTGGACGGAAACTTTTCCATTGTTCGGAGACTGTTGTGTCTTAATGTGTGTCCACTATGGTTTTATAAATAAAATCAACTGAAAGTTATTTTAGTGCCTTTAATTTCACACCTTTAATATATTTATTGCACTTTAATGTAAAGTAGTGTGGGTGTTTGTTACTCAATTGCATGAGAAAAACTTAATAGGATTGTTTGAAGTATGTTAAGAGAAAGTCAAAAATGTGTAGCTTGGGGTAAAACATTGGATAACTAATGGGGTTAACATTTGGGTTCGATATCTTTCTTTAGGGCTGACCCAAGTCTTCAATGTTAATGGTTAGAAAGCACTTTTAATGATTACTTTTGATTTGTTTATTTTTCCCAATGGTTTTACAATTCTCCACACTATCATACAGCTAACTAAAAGAAATATAATTAGCTATTTTATTAAACTAAATCATAGGTTTGCACACTTTTTCATTATACTTAACTCTTTACCAAAGAATTATCGTGTTTTTTCTGCAGTGCAGATTTTAAAAAATGTCTTTTAGTCCATACACAAACTCCCTGAAGAAGCACAGGTAAAGCTACTAGCATTGATTAATAATTTAGGCTACACAAATTTACTTTACAAACTATGAATTTATTTCTATATATACCGGGTGTCCAAAACCACCCGTACACCCCTTTCAAAACGATGGAAACCATTTCTTACAAACAAAAAATAATACAGAACTAGCTAAATTGGGCACGGTCTACCAAATGGTGATAATTTCAAATCCAAAATCAAACCGGAAGTGGCTTTTTCAGACCGGAAGTTGACTTTTTTAAATGTAAACTACCAATTTTGATTACAGAATCGGATTCTACGTTGAAAAATACATAACTTTTGTCTAAAACATTTTTTGAAAAAACTTGTTTTCTGCCTCTAATGTCCCATTAAAGTCAATAATTTTTGGTCATTCATCCGTCAAAGTTACTCGAAACAATAATAGAGAAAAACAAATAACAAAGATTACATAAAGACATGTGATAAATAGTATCAGCTGTTCATTGTAAACACCTTAACAATTGAATTAAAGCTGGTCTACCCATTGCTTAGTTTTAAATTAAAATTTTTATTTTAAAAATTTTATTTTTAAAATAAATCATTTGTTTTTACATTTAAGGAGTCATATGTAACAATAAATTATAAAAAAATTCAACTTAGCAATGTGTAGACCAGCTGTTACTCAATTGCTAAGGTGTTTAAAATAAACAGCTGATTCTATTATTCATATGTCTTTATGTAATCTTTGTTAATTGTTTTTCTCTATTATTGTTTCAAGTAACTTTGACGGATGAATGACAAAAAATTATTGACTTTAATGGGGCATTAGAGGTAGAAAACAAGTTTTTTCAAAAAATGTTTTAGACAAAAGTTATGTATTTTTCAACGTAGAATCCGATTCTGTAATCAAAATTGGTAGTTTACATTTAAAAAAGTCAACTTCCGGTCTGAAAAAGCCACTTCCGGTTTGATTTTGGATTTGAAATTATCACCATTTGGTAGACCGTGCCCAATTTAGCTAGTTCTGTATTATTTTTTGTTTGTAAGAAATGGTTTCCATCGTTTTGAAAGGGGTGTACGGGTGGTTTTGGACACCCGGTATATATATTTTTTTATAAAGCTAGTGAATTTATTCAATAGCAAACCTTTAGGCATATCAGATATATACATATATATATATATATATATATATTTTAAATATATTTTTGCACACATAACTTTTACACCTAAATAAGTTATGAGTATCTGCACAATATAAATAATAAAATAAATATAAGAATATCGATACTTAGAATAAAACACACATATTAAAATAATGCAGTACTTTGTTATGTTTACCTTATAATCTGAAAATACAAAAAAATGTATGATAAAACTTGTAAAACTCATTTAAAAATGTAGTGTTATTTATTAGACATATTTTTTTGTATTTTCAGGTTATTTAATAACATGTACGATGCTAATCAAGAAGTTATTTGCCTTATAACATCATTATTTTAAAATTGAACTATTACTAAAATGTAGAAAATATAACTGAGACTTATCATGTTATTGGTCTTATTTACAGTCTGTAAATACAAAAAAGGCCATCCCTTAATATCCAATATTACACCTATGCCTACTTAATAAGGAACTAAAAACCGTTGAAATGTATCTAAATGCTTGGGATATGAAAATAAAGTCTCATTGTGAACTCCAAAATATATATACAGGCTGTTAATTATTTACAGTATTCAGTATACTGATGTTCTCTTTTATACAATTTACACCCGATGGAGTAAAATGTTATTTCTTTTCAGGTTTACACAACAACAACGAATATATCTGATTATTCTACTGTAACTACACCTGGTACACCCATTTCATCCATCTCCAAATCAAAGAGAACATTTTGAATCCTGTTTCTTGCTATAGCTTGATTTCGTTGACATAAATTTCTCATTTGACTTGCGATAAGTTGTCCAAATATTGTACAATTGTCAGTATCTGATGTTAGCTTAGTTTTCATACATTGCAGCGCCTCTTTGAATACCTCATCTTCATTATCATTCCTCTTCCTCTTATGCCTTTGACTATTTTTGGGTGCAAGAGTATATGGAGTTTCTTCATTGGCGATTTCATTGACATCAATGTTCTCCCACTTTCCTAACTGAGAATCATCCCTGCTTTCCCATTTTTCTGATTGACTATAGTTAGGCAGGTTTTTCTGGTTTGATCCTTGGCTTTCTTCTGCATAATCCTGAAAAAAAATGTAATACATTATTTTGAGGACATTATTGTGCCACATTGTTTAATAATACTGACAGTGATAATGAAATATGAAAAATGAAACAATAATCTTTTGAAATAAAGCCTAAATAACGATTAGACAAGAAAATAAACTTGATTTGTGCAATGTTTATTGAACGGTAGACGTAGAAATTGTATTTGTATTTTATTTAAGATCTATCGCTCCTTTCACACTGTACGATTTCACTCCTACGAGTGTTTAATCGTGCCGGCAGACGATAGTGGGTATCTGTTGCTTTCACACTATACAATTTGTAATCGTATGATTAATAAATCGTAACCCCCTACTCCACCAGAACAGAGTTCATATCAGTGGAAAGTGTTGAGAAGTATGGATTGTGAGCAAATTATTGCTGCTTTAATTTTTTACAGACAGAGGAAAAAAGAAACGCGACCGTCTCCACTGGGTACATCCTATTAATTTAAAACGCGAGGAAATGGGTATGGTCAATACATTATTCCAAGACTTGAGGAACAATGAAGGCAAATTTTTTTAACTATTTTCTTATGTCAAGAGAATCGTTCGATGAACTTCACGAAAAGTTGAAAAGTGACCAACATATACAGAAATAACTCCAGGAACTGCATTCAACTAGTTGAAATGCTGTCTGAGACTTTAAGGTACGGTCTTAGAAAAATATTAGTTAAAAATATGTTGATATTCATTTGTATAGTTTTAGATAGCAACAAGTATAGATGGTAAAATTCTAGATTTTTTTTCATTTTGATAGTTTTGATATGTATTGTTAATTGATATATATGTATCAATGTGAAAAAATATTATTTAATATCATAAAGTTAAAATCGTTTAAATATTGCGTAAGTTAAGTACTAAATAAAACAAATAAACTTTACAGGGTAAGGTAAAATAAAAAAAAAAAACACATTATTACTTAAATACGCCTTATATAATTGAGTTAAGAACACAAAAACTAGTAAGATTGGGCATCATAAGAAGAAAAATTAAAAATAAAACACATTGTTACTTTAATGTGCCGTATATAATTGAGCTAAGAATACAAAATCTAGTTATATTGGGCATCGTAAGCCGAAAAAAAACTAAAAAAAAACACATTATTACTTTGCCCTATATAGTTGAGCTCAGAACACAAAATCTATTTAGTTTGGCCATCATAACCTATTTAATTGAGCAAGAACTTAAAATCTAGTTAGATTGGGCATCATAAGTAGAAAAATCAATATACGATAATATAGAATCACCAGTGTTGTTGTTCTTAGGGGCATCTGAGGGGGAGGACTATGACCAGTTTCACTTGACGAGTCGCTGTTGAAAAATCCTTGGAGAAACTGCGTTGATGACTGTTGTGTTTTTGGTGGTGCATTTTTATTCCATAGTGTTGTTTTAGCTGTCTTTGCTTGATGTGTTGGTGGATAGGTGCTGGTATTTGGACTTTGATGAGAAGGAAATTGAGGTGGGTGGTAGGTGGGTACATATGATTGTTGTGTTCCCATTGGTGGCTGATGGTAAGGTAGCTGTGAAGGGACTGCAGAGGTGAAGTTGGGTTGTGGTGTAGGCATTGTTTCCTTAATCTTGTTTATGTTTTCAATAACCTTCAACACTTCCATCTGAAACTGTAGAAATTCTCTTTCACTATAACCGTTCAGGTGGGGAATTAGGGTTTGGAGAAAAGCCATCTTACTGCATGGCTGTTTTGGTTCCAGTGCTGCCATTAGTTTTAATTCAATTTCATCAGATTTTTTATATTTTTTGGTTGAACTTGATTGTTGGCTGTTAGCTTCAAATAACACTACTTGCGGCTCTTCTACCTCTCCCTCTTCTACAAGTGGCTCCAAACTGTCCACCGTAGTTGTCTCGGAATATATTTTGTTAAGGAACTGTAGCTGGTCTGCGAACAAGTATTTCCTCCGTTTTTTTGCTTCTGATCCACTTTTTTTGGCTGCTTTTGTATCTCTTATCGATTTAGAAAAACAATCTCGGAGGTTAGTCCATCTTCTTATCACTTCTTTACCTGGAAAATAGAAAAAAAATCAAATGCATTAATAATCCCATTAATAAAATAGTTAAAATAGTAGGCCAAAGTTAGATGATCGTTTAGCAATAAAAATGTGTTATTTTACAATACATGGTGTTTCCAAATTGCCTGGACATATTTTGCGGAATGTTCCTTTATAAGACAAACATAAAATGCCATATAAGTATATGGGTCTAAAATGCCTAGATTTCTGATTGTCGGTTTATTTGTGATTTTTGAGAATTATTTAATATCTTAGGCATTTTTCAAGATAGATATTTCAAAATTGGTAAGGCCTATAATTGAGTATTAGAAGGTAAAAAGAGCTTACAATGTGTCGTTCCAATATCTCAAGCCGTTTCAATTTGGCGGCCATTTAAACTCTTTAATGCTAAATTTTATGAAAACGGTAAATATTAAGAAAATAGTTTTTCAGATAAAGAGGATAGAGAATTTAAATCCAAATCAAATGAGACCTTGTTCGTTAAAATCGGAAGACAAACAATCGAGTTATTAGTTTTTTTCTACATTCGGTTACGCAATTTAATAGGACTACTATTTTACTGCTCTGTAAAATAACAAATAATAAACAATATGGAAGTCCTATTAAATTGCGTAACCAAATGTTGGAGAAAACTCAAAGAAAAAACAAAAATAAAATTTTTCATAACGTTTACAGTAGTACACAATCACAAGTATATTAAAATTCCAATTTTGTAATGCTTTATGACGTCAGAATATTTTAACAATGAGGCATTATATTATAGGCCTATTCAGTAATATTATTGCATAGAATACTTTTATATTTTCATTTTCAACTTATCCAAAAGACGTCAAAAAAGAAACTAGCAAACCTAGGTAATTAGGCCTGAATCAATCAGTACTTGACTGACTTTAAAATTTTTTTTAGTTTACTGTTTGGAAATAGTCAAAGTTATAATTTTGAAGTTTTTAGCGCTCTGTGAACTTAAACAGGCGAACGATTTATTTTTAAAGAGTCGTTTCAGAGCTCTCTCCTCTCCTTCGGATCACACCCCATTTGTCCCTAACTTTCCATGTCCCCAACTTTTCTTGTCTGCATCTTTCCTTAACTCGATGCTAACAATGCAAGAGGGGGGTTGGCTGCAAACAATATTGCAGTTACTTCTTATCAGATTTTGGAAGTGTTCCGTGGCAAATGTCAAAGGTTTAGTGAAACAAAATGGATACGTGAAATCATGTGAACGATAAATGGATAGGTGGCAAATCTTATGTTATTGTATAATATTAATGTTAATTTTCATAATTTATATTCAAGATTTTTTTTTAATAATTTATACACAAAGTTCCAAGGTAAAAAGTTTGTTTGAAACAATTCCAACATGTTTACTATTTTGTGAAAAACTAAACTCAAATTTACATTGACTTATGTTTAGTATTAAATTCATTAACAACTTACCGAATGCATTTCTTTCTTTGTCTCCAAGGCTTTCAAAATCTGGATTCAACGCCAAGCACACTTCTTCCCAGGCTTTTCTTGTAGCAATTCTGTTTTTGTAAACGTCCAATGTTTTGTCCCATAACACAACTTTTGATTCAACAAGTGAAATTAAAACTTCAGGGTCAATCACATCCATTTGAACTATATTAACACAACTGAAACTAATAAAAAAACTTAATAATACTACCTATACAGTGCGCACAGGTAATTAAACTCAATAACCAAACAATTAAACTGAAAAACGAAATAAAAACTCTATAACAAAAACGCAGCGAACTGCACTCGGGGAGGGCTCCCGCACGACTAACATCCAATCGTGTAGTGTGAAAGGGGCCATATGGTCACATGGCCCAGTAGACACGATTATTTGCTCGTGCGGGAGTCGGATAGGCCTACCAACCGTGTGCACCTTGCCGCTACAAGCGAGCAAAGAATTCTATACGCGGGTGAAAATCGTTCACGGTTGGTAATCGTATTATATGAAAGGGAAGGGGGCATACGCTCCTATGGTTTAATTACTACAAATACGATTAAGCCGCAGGAGTGAAATCGTATAGTGCGAAAGGAGCGCTTAAAAGCTTTGACTTCGATTAATAGTAAGTGAATATACTCTATAATTTAAGTAGACGTTATCTGTACTCATCATGTTCTGATTTTGATTTTTGCTGTAGAAAATAATCACAGTAGGCTATAAAAAAATACCAAAATATTATACAAGACTGTATATAGGCCTACTATTAAAAGAAGTCCTAGATGATAGTAAAAAGTTAATGTATAATATGATGTAAAAAACAAAGAATGCATACAAAAAACAGCTTATAACACATTAAATTCAGTGATAATTTTTCAAAGCCTATCTAAGGTGGATTTAACTTTAAACTTTTATTTATAAATCAGGCTAAACACGTGTACGACAAAACTTTATTGCTTATGTACCAGATTAAAAAAAAATAGGGGTTTAAGGGGAAGATTTCTTGAGTTCCCTTACCACTTTTCGTAGCTCACTCTATACAGGGTGACAATTAAGTCTTAAGACAACTTTAAAATGAAAAGATATATCCCAATAAAATTTAACATATCATTACTGGAAATAGTACGCTACCTTTTTGTGTACATGGTTATCGGATGCCACCTATGAGGTAGTAAGTTGAAAATCATAAAGGTAAGCATAGGTCGATATGTAATGTACATCAAATTAAAGGTTTTGTTGAACTAAAAACAATGCCGCAAACCGGACCTCAAATGGACAGATAAGTAAGTATAAGGCAAACAAAAGAATTAATGAAAAATTTGTCCATAAATTTACCATAAAGCATTAAAGTTATCATTGTTCTAATTTTATTTTATCCCTAGGAGATGTAAATAGTGAGGTGTTGATACCTGAAATCGATTCTCGGTACGAGTTGAAATGTCGTTTAAGGGTAATTCAGTTCAATCCAGTACCATACGGGGATGGACCAATAAGCGGCAAGGCCC